ATGTTAATAGGCAAGGCGGATTTTAGAGATGCGCCAACAGAACGAGAAATTCAGAAAAACCTATACGATGACGAAGACATTCCACCCTATATTACGGAATATGGCAGTAAGTATTGACAAGCAAATCTTTTCATCAGGTTACGCATGTAATGTATATAGTGACGACGGCGTAGAGGTTACCCTAGTGGCCCTGTGTTTGAATCTTAGAGTCAATGTCTCTATACAAACACAAATAACTGATTCCTGGGTCTAGCTTTTGTAATTGTTCCCGTGTATTTGACAATGCATCTTATTACAGAAATGGGTAGGGTAGGACATATGAATTCCCCTGTATCATTGAGTGCATGCAGTTGCGGTAATACAGTATCTAAGTGGTTGATAGAAGCTATCGATTACTCGAAAGTTAACGCATATAGCTAGAAGGCTAGGTTCATCATAATTATCATATTAAACGAATTAGCCGTTTTGCATATTGTTACGTTTTTTGCTGCGGAGCCGTGGTGGCTCAGATGGTTAACGCTCGCTGTAAATATAACAGAACGCGAGTAATCCGGGTTCGATCCCCGACGGCACCAATGAAATTGTTAATTGCAATTTTAAGTGCTGATTTACCACGTGCTCGGCGGTGAAAGCAAACATCGTGAGGAAACCTGCATGTCTGAGGAATAAGAAAAAAATATTTTGAAGACATGTGAAGTTCGCCAACACGCATTGGGGCAGCGCGGCGGACACTTCCTTCTTTCTTCTTTTCTTCTTTCCTTCTCCACTTCCTCAAAGAGGGTTTTAGGGCAAGGAAGAAAAAGGGAGGCCTGTGCTCAGCAGTGGGACGTATATAGGCTGTAACTTTACGTTTTTTTATAGAAGAGTGGGCAAATGAGCCTGTGGCACACCTCATAGCACCGGCCATCAATGTCAACACGCAATGGAGTGTTGCTACATGACCCTAAATTCAGAATTGAAAGGAGACCTGTGACTGCAGCAGTGGGACGTATATAAGTTGTAACTATTTAAGAAAAATTTACAATGTCTTTTATTGCCAACAGACCGCCTGTCATGTACATCAGCCATAAGTTTACTCAGTCGTTATTGCTCAATATTGCCACACGATCAATTTACCCTCATTACGCCAATGTGGATTCAAGAAAAGGATAAATTATACCGAAAGATTACCATATTAATGCCTTTGAGTTGCCCGTTAAAGGATCCAATTATGGTAATTATACATTTTATACTAAAACAGTTTAATTTTATTGATAGTGAATATCAACACCATTTTATGCCACAATTTTGGTAATTCCTAATTGAAATATGTAGTTAAGATATTAAAAAATATTGATTTTATTGCATTCGTATATACTTATGAAGATTTAGGGAGGAATAGTCTCATAATATATATTTATACCGTTACATCTATTAAACATCTATTGCTGAACATAGGGGCTCCCATAAATTGCCTCAAACTTGCCATAGTTGCCATACTTGACAGGCAAGTTGGCAACCACAGTGTAATAACTTTGATTTATAATTATTACATGAGTGTGGGTTATTTAGTTACAGAGTTATTAAGGTTACATAAACTCTCCTTTCATAAATCTACAAATTAAATGAAGTCATGACATATGTAAAACAATGAAGTCGCAGTTTCATTCATTTTCTATTCGACGCTGCCGAAACTCTCGTATTCGCTAAGCACTGAATTTTTGAAGCTTTTTGGATTCTGGAGAACACCCCACGTATTAACCGATACGCATCTACATTCCATTTTGGGATCACATTTTGTTCCACGTAACGATTTCCACTGTCGCAACATAAATGAAACCTAACTTTGAGATGACACAAACGACTTCACACCGGTGACTATGCCCGCTCCCATGCAAATAAAAATCTTTAGATGAGATTTTTCCACATCATACACTTCATAATACTGAGCTGTCGAAGATGCAAACACAGCAATCGATATTAAGCCATTAGTTTTGTATTGTTTAACGAAGAATCTCGCTGTAACTGTGTGAACGAATCTCACTGTAACTGTAACTTTGTATCAAATATACTTCGGGTCGAGTTATTAGGTTAATCTTAATATTCATGGTGAAATCAGTCTCATTACAAATTTGACATCATATTTATTTGCAATTCGATAATACGCAGTTTCTTCTGAATATTATTAGTAGTCTGCATAATTATATTGGTTTATTTTTCATAGCATAAGGAATAAGGTATAATGAGCACACAGTCCACCTGATGGTAAGTGGATGCTGGGGCCCATATATTTATCCTCAATTAGGAGACATGTAGATGCGTTGTCACCACTTAGGACTAAGATGGAATGCCTCGTTTCCCGTAAAAATGGTCTCCGGTTAGAGAACCAAACAAAGCAGTCATCTTAGTCTCAACCATGCATCATACACCCGATGTTAATCAGCCCTCCTAAAAAACGGAGATTATATTGTTTTATAATCAAACTAAATTTGGCGTTGATTTTCTAGATCAAAGATGCTCAATCTTTTCGACGGGTCGTTGGACGCACAGATGGCCGCTGACTATATTTTACAGGCTACTTGACATTTCAGCGTCCAACTCATACGTCGTATACTTATCCACACAACCGCACAAGACTGAAGTCAGGTTTTAATTTATGAAAAGACTGGCTGGATAGCTTACGAGATCATATATGGCGCGTTAAAAAAAACACAGATACTCACCATACGCAACACAGCGGCATTAAGCTGCTATTTTACGCTGGTGTTCTGTGAGAACGTGGTCCTACCCCGGTCCTGTAGACCCAGTCGTGCTACAAACATAATATAGCTGCAGCGTGCTTAGATTAAAGACATTTTCAGACGGACTGTTGATTACATTAATGTTATAAAGCACTTTCGAATTGTTAATTAGTCAGTAATACTTGTATTAAGTTTAATTTTGTGTTTGTGTAACCAATTGCAACGGAGGCATCAGTATTTAATTTTTGATACCAATTAATGTGTAATTTGGCAATTAATTTCTAATATAAAAAATTACATTGCGTTTTAAGGGCGATCCAATGACAGATTTGAAAAATGCTAAGCGTTCTGCAGCGCTGAAAGCTTGCATAAGACTGCATCAAATAGAAGAATTAGATCGGATTACGCTGTTACCAAGGAAATATGGGTATGTGCGCTATTTATCAAAACTTACTTTTCGCAATGCAATCCACCGCTTAACAAGTTACGCTAATTGCTACTGTCATTCTATATATATATTGGGTTATTTTTCAATGAGTAGCCAAATTTTAAACTTAAGTTCGTAAATATAAATAACGATATCAACGGTTTTGCCTACCGATCGGTCGACTATTACAAATGTGTGCGTGCAGTAAAATCAGTTAAATGAATGCATTGCCGCGCATTTTGAATTTGAAAGATAAAAAGGACAGAATTTTTGAGATTCTTATTTACTTTCTTCATCATTTGCCTATATTACTTATTCTGAACTAAAACTAAAACTAAAATGTGGTGCAAAATAACCCTGTATATATTATATGAATATTAATAACCTTGAGATGTCAAGAGTATGATTTGCAAGGAAAATTATTTTTCTAAATTATTGTTGTCAAAATCGCGAAAACGGCGATGCAAACTCGCAAGATTTTTTTGTTTCACCAAGATACGTAGGTCACTCAATAAGTTTTGAGATGCTCGAAATTGAAAAATGGAGCGCATCCGTGTTATATGCTTCTAAGAAGCAAATTTATTTAAAAATAAAACTCCATAAGCCAATTGCTCAATATTTAAAAAAAAACAACTATTAATTTTCCTGCAACGCTTCCCGCGCTTTTCATTTAAAACGATGGATCTTAACCGTGAACATTTGCGCGCTATGATCTATTATGATTTTAAATTTGGTTTAAACGAAAAATTAAGTTTACAATGGTTACAATCAGCATTAGGGGACTCAGCTCCATCACGCGCAACAATTTTTAGGTGGTTTTCTGAATGCAAAAGGGGTAAAATTAACCTTAAAGGTAACTAAAGGTCCGGGGCCCCGTAAACAGGAGTAGCGGCAGAAAATGTATGGACTACTGAAATGTTGGTGCAAGAAGACCCACGAATCACATAATCACCTCATTTGCTCTCCGAAAGCGAAAAACAGAGTCGTATAGACGGATTTCATGGCACTAATCCGGTGCCATGAAATGCGTCTATATTTTGAAAACGGGGCCTAGGCATCTTTCAGAAATCGTTACTGGTGACGAGACATGGATCTATTAATATGATGCGGAAAATAAAAGGCAATCATCGGTATGGGTTTACTCAGAAAAAAATGGTGGCTAGTTTTTTTTCGCGGAGCGGATATTTGTCGGCGTAATTGCTGGAAAATTATAGACCAGTCAACTCTGAATGGTATATTACAGCTTTGGTCTACTTCGGGGAATCATGCTGCATCACGATAACGCCTCTTTACATACCTCCCTTAGAACAAAAGCATTTGTTGAGGAATCTGGTGTTGAAACTCTTAAGTCACCCACCCTACAGCCCTGACTTAGCTCCTTGTGATTTCTTTTTGTTTCCAAGAGCCAAATAAAAAATAAAAGGCTTTTTTTCAAGCGCCGAAGAAGCCGTGGCTGCCTACGAAGAAGCGATTTCCGACCTGTCAGAAGATTGGCAAGAGTGTTTTCAGAGTTGGTTTAGGCGCATGGAACTTAGTATAGAGTTGTATAGAGTTTGTATGAGTTGATGGAGAATATTTTGAAAAGTTGTAAAATCAATATTACTCTCTTGGAATAGTATCTAGAATACTTTTGGTATATCTCAAAACTTATTGAGTGTCCTACGTAAAGTTATTATAAATCCGCCGTTGCGATGGTTGCAATTTTAGATGCTGATATTAACTATATCTTGCCATTAGTTTATTATTTACTATTCTCGAGATTGAAAAAGTATCTGAGTGGGACAGAGATTTAAAGATGATGAATCGTTAGTCCTTGTAGTAGAGGAATTTATTAGTTCTCGGATTGAATTGTTCTTTACGAAAAGTATTTTAAGTTTAGAAGAGACATTTTAAGTGTCTTATGTTTATCGGTGTGTAGCATTGACGTAAGGGAATCCACCTACACGTACCATCAGGTGCATATCGTAAGAGACGATAGAGGAAAAGGAAATAAGAGATTGGCAGCAATAGATATCTAATAAAAATTAAAAATAATAAAAATACTGCAGTTACCAACCCACCTATTAAGCTGGGCAACTATGGCAAAACTATAGCAATCTATGGGGAAGGCACATATTCTGCAGAGGACTTTTGGTAGGCTGTATTGATGGTAATGATATTAAAATGTGTTACATTAAATGGTAACTATATCAAGAATAAATAGATTATCTATTTTAAAATAATATTAAAAAATACATGTAAACCTTTATCATAATCATTTTCACTTTTAATTGTACACCTTTAGCATTTTACTATTGTTGTTCCTATATAAGCGTTCTTACTCTTAAAATACCTGGGCAGTTGATTTGTTCTTTCAATATCTCTTACCCTTAAAATCCCTAGCATTTGCAAACGCATTACTACTTATAAAGAATCAAATTGTAATTGCGTTATCACCATCAGCGACTAAGATGGATTGTTACTTTACCAATAAAAAAGAGTAATATTTTCGTCACTGATCACAAAAAACAATAGCATTATGCTGCGTGCATTTACGCTTGTATTAAATTCGCTATTTAAATTTTGGGAACAGAAAACTTTATTTTGCTTAAATCCGTAATTTTATTACAGCAAAGTCGATTTCGACCTTCCTGACGTTAAGCAGTGTTTCCTTAACTGGCCCTGGGAAAATAATGAAGATGAAGCCGCAGATGCACCAGCAGTCGGTTCTAAAAAAAGAATACGGAAGCATTTGAAAGTGGTACGTAACTTATAAAAGCTGACATTAAAGTTCGCATTACGCACTAACTTCAATAATTATGCTATTTAGGTTATGCAAAAATCAAAACTATTTACGTTTTTCTAAATGGTCATTAATTTCATATTGTGACAATATTTGTTCTACTGTCCTTAAAATATATGGAATTATTATCATAATATATTTGCGTGTCATGTCATTGTCCCGAAAATTGTCATTTAGACTCCAAATGTCTAAATGTCAATTTTCGCGATTAAATTTTAGAGAACGAAGTTGACAATAAACCATATCCTGTTCTTAAGTGTACGTCACGGATTTGCATCGAAAACTTCATGTATTAGGGTTTTTTCAAGGGTAATATCGTAAAGAAGAGATTATTTATAGAAAAATAAGATTTAAGTAGGAATAAATCTTTATTTAGTGCCACTACAAAGCAAAATTATGTATTTTATTGATAGTTTTTAAAACATCCCTCCATAGCGTTTACGAAAATATGCATCAGAGTTATTTTTCAGGTTAAATACTTATAACGATTACTATGAGCTAAAATACTTTATCAGGCGTTATTATAATAGGATACATAATCTCAAAGTAAAACACAAAACCTAAATTATGAAAGTATTGCGATTTAATATTAAAAAACAACATTATGAAATCGCTAAAACTGGCCACTTAAAACTCTTTTTTTCACGTGTGTTTGAATATAAACATAACTATTTTATACATTTCATTAAAATACAGGTAATGCTTAATATCCTGACTTTTAGTTTGTTTTATTTACTTAGTTATGTGTTTTATACGACTATTTTAAAAATACTATAAATCAGCGCGGAGAAACGCCGGCCGCCGGTCGACGGTCGATCTCGATCAGTGCGTTCCGGGTTCTCCCAACAGTAGGACGTATCACTTCTTCCCGCTGCTCACACTTTTTTCGATGCACACCGATAGCGTAATCGACTGTCTATCACCATGAATGATATTTTGTCATGATATTATTTAATCAACTAATTTAAATAAAAACTGTCAGTCGTAGGCTGCATGTCAGAAGTAAAAACTTCTTAGCTTCACAAACTTGTTAACATATTTTTTGGGTTGTTAAGAAATATTATTTTATGAAGCATTTTTATTAGAAATTATTTTTAATAATGTATTGATATAGTAATAAAGTTTTCATTTATTGCCCTGTTTTATATTAAAAATAATTATTATTATGCATACAGATTATTTTTAGCAATAACCGGCCAAATTTGCAAAGAAGGTTCTGAGTAGTAATATAGGTAACTGGTGAACAAAAATTAATTAATCTTTTTTATCTTTTAAATTCAAAATGCGTGGTAATGCATTATTTTAATTGATTTTACTGCGCACGCACACATTCGTAAGGGTCGGTCGGTATCGGTAGGCAAGAACGTTGCTTCCCACAAATCACATTCAATTTGGGACAATTTGAGAAGCCTTATTTTTTCGTATTTTCAAAAACTGCAATACATGTATAATATTATTTATATATTTGAAATTAAGTTTAAAATTTGGCTATATTAATATTTGATTACACAAATGTATATAAATTTTATAAAATTTAATTAATAGGATTTTGAACAGCTTATCGCAAACAAAATTGCTGCTAAATTATTAGATATTTGCTATTGTGAATTTATTGGCATGCATTCCATTAGAAATTCCAAATTCAAATTATTATCATAATAAAACCATCATTTTTCTTTTAAAAATCAATTGTTCATTTGTTTTCCCGTATCTATTTATATATCTGGCTGTGACCATGGAAAAGACTTAATGTAGCCAGATAAGTTTTATGGTATTGTTACATCATCGACAACAGCAATCAGCTGTACACATTAATTAAAAACACTAGGATAGCATCTATTCCACTTACATCAATATAGTTTTCGAGACGTAAAAAGTCAATTGGTGTATATTAATTCATAATAATTAATTCACATAATAAATATAAAAGTTTATAAACAATTTTATTTTTTTCAGTGTCCAGAAGTTTTAAATGGTCAGAGTAATTGGAATTCCGGTCAACAGAAGTTCTATCTTCACATCATAGAGTTAAAAACAGCTTTCGACGAACCAAAGGACTCCCGCGAGCGCGCATTATATAATCTTCTTCAAAAAGGAGAGGGCTACGGATTTCTGACTGCACAACCTTTGCCCAAAATATGCAATTTCCCAATGTTTCTTTCTGTGGGTGAAGTGACTACTTCAATTAAACTTAATTACGCTGTCATTCCGTTAGATTTGGAGTTGTTCGAGTGTGTTAAACAGTAAGTTCTTTTACTTTATTACAGGATTCCTTTATCTTTTCTTGAGTACGTTTTTACGTTGTAGAGCCATCCTGCATTACGTGGTAGAGTCATGCTGCAGTTATATTAGTAGTATAGTTGTAGCACGAATGGGTCGGCTCGATCGGGATATATCCACAGAATTACAGAATACCAGCGTCAAATAGTAGCTTAATGCTGCTGTGTTTCATATGGTGAGTGTAGAGAACCGGAGGCCCTTTTTACTGAAAACGAGGCATTCCACCTAAGGAGCCACCGAGGCGTCCTCACGGATGACAACGCATCTGCATTTTGATTCGCAAACGACAATAGATGTAGATGTCTATGGGCCACAGCAACCACTTACCATCAGGTGGACTGTGTGCTCGTTTGTCATCCTATTCTATAAAAAAAGTGCCCATATTACTTTTTCCAGTCAATGGCATGTTATCAATAAAAGTAAATAAAAAATAAATACGAATAAAAGAGAATTTAATGATGTGTTGAGTCTAAATCAGTACCACATAATATTATATGGATTTTTAAAATTTTTAACCTTGAAGTTTGTTCTGATGTTCGCAAGGGATGGAGTAAAGAAATTTATTGCTAAACTAGCTTTACCCGCGGCTTCGCTTAAATTTAGAAACATCAATAATACTATTTCATACTAAAACTAACAAAATTGGATCACTTGTAGAGATACCTCGGTGTCTGTGTCTATATTGGACGTGGGAAATGATTGAAATTTAGCAATGATGGATGAAGAACATGGTAAATCGAAACTTCAACTTCAATTAAAGTAAAAGTGGAGTCGACGCGTTGACAGATGACTTTCAAAATTTTATCAGTGCAGTTCTCACTGTCACTCTCACTAACTCTTAGTTAAAATAAAAATAAACCTATGCTTAAAATTTTCTTTCTTTGATATTTATAGTACTTTTTGGCAAGAGCCTATTTATTTACTCATGTGAGCTATGAAACCAGGACTGTCACAAAAATTTCAATAGTTATGTTCAAAAATATGAAAGCTATCTTAATACATGACAAGCTATTTTAAAAGTCTCATCAAAAATAAAAAAGGCTGCGTCAACGGTATATCACGAACTATTCCATCAATTATGAATAAAAATCTTATAGCGCACTTAATTTTCAATTCCTTATATCGGACTAAACTAAAAAAAAAATTGGTGAGATATTGCTATGCTGGCATACACATACTCAACATATTCAACTAAAGACATGTCTTAATCACAGTTAATTTGTTTACACAGTTTTGTTAGCAATTTTGCTAAAATTGACAATTACGATAAATCATGTGGGCAGTAGCCACCGGTCTGTATATTTTAAGTCTCACAATTTTTGATACTGCCATATAGTAAAATTGTGTTTCATTTGTTCAGTTACTTATTATTAGTTAAGCATTAAGTAGATGGCGCTATTAATAGATTAAAACTACGAAAATCATAGCTTTAGTTTATAGTACTCAGCCACTAGTAATTAGTTGAGATGCGACTGGGTTGGCTCGATCCCACAACAAAGCCGCGAATATTTATATAATATAATACATAAATAAAAGTGAAATTTATTGAAAATTCTGTTTCTGTTAAAATACGCAATCAGCGCTGCTAGCGGTGTTTAATGAAATTATTTTACGATATAACAATAATATCTAGAAAGATCAATGTGGTGTTTAGTTGTTAATATCGACAAACATTATCTATTCATCGATTTGAACAAGCTATATTATGATATAGTCAACAAATATTGTAAAATTTTATTTTACATATGAAATACCGCCATTTCACGCAATAATCGACTAATCGTTGCGAAATCATAGTCAGAATAGGTACTTCACCTAAGTAACTTAATTACCATTTTTTAAATCTTTATTAACAGCCCTAAGTAACCACGGAAAGTCCGCCGTGACGTAGGAAGGGGAAAAGATACAAAGTAATACGGACACTCGCTCGGAGTGATAAAGTTTTATTTAGCTTGCGATTTATCTAATTAATAATTATTATGTAGGCTATTAAACGTCGACAAGCAGTCAACATCCAAGGAGTTTAACTTCTGTACGTAGTACTATTATTTATTCTGCGACCTAAGTAACACGAACGTAGAAAATATGTGATATATTATACTTGATGACCTTTTTTACTGTCTGGAAAAAATAGGGTGTAACATTTGAAAGGAGTAAAAGCCTATGGTACTGATATTTTACAAAAAATAAAAACAAAAATTTTGAATTAAACGTTTGAAATTTTTTTTTGATCAATTACTTTGCCCTTTGCCCTTGAGCCTGTGACCCTGCGAAGTGACAAGGTCAAAGATGCCTACTAAATTTATTGTTTTATTGCCGTTCGTAAAGTAGGGTGGATGTGATTTGAATTTCGATAGAGTTTAATTTATTTAGTTCAAAATTTTTGTTTCAATATTTTGTAAAATATCAGTGCCATAGGCTTCTATTCCGTTCGCATGTTACTTTTCCAGACGGTAAAAAGGTCATCCTTTTAATTTTTTGATTAATTTTATGAATACAGTTGAAAATGGATGTACCGACATCACTTAGAATATCGGATCGGAACGAAATAGCCAAGTTCCTGTCAGTCCTCATATAAAAACTAAACATTAATTATTTTTATTTGCAAATTAATCAATTTAACCTTTTGAGCGCCAAAGTCGCCTATACTTGACCAGCACCTGCGGGCCCTGAGCGCCAACGACGTCTATAGTTGACAAAAAAACCCGGCCCACAAAAATATGAAATATAGATATTGGAAAATTATTACTGGTATTTTAATTCTACACTTCCTCAAAAAAGAATAACCCAGCAACATGTGAGTATAAAAAACAAGTCTCCTAGAGCCACAAGTACTAAGAAACATTGAACTAAAAAAAATGGATTTTTATCGAAGCAAATACTACGTACAGCACGCCAAAGTCGTCTATGTTTGACCGCTAGTGTTGTAATACGTTAGGCATGGATTTATTGAAAACTATTCAAAATTAAACGCAAACGTGTTATTTTTTAAAATTATTATTGATATTTGAATAAAACAAAAGGTAAGACATGAAAATATCATCAGCTACATAAATAAAAGAAAATTTCATCAAATCAACTTCGCATAATAAATCTAATATCTCAACTCTGGCGCATCCTTAGCGCGTCATCGATTATCAGTTCATTGGGCGCCGTGGTCAAGGATAGACGACACCCTGATGACGTGATAAACGGATTGCGGAAAAAGTAGTGCAGTGCAACGTGAACGATTCCTCAGAACTCATTCGCATTTTGGAAAGCGTCGATGATGATGAATTTTTTTATTTTAATAATATAAAATTACGAATAATAAATGTTAATTTTTTTCTTAAGGTATGAAGAAAAATTTTATATTTTGTGTTGTGCGATTTTATTTCTCAATCTAGGGTATTGACTGAAACCTCTATTATATTTGCCAATGAAATTTTCATTCTTATTCCGCATGCAAAAGACCAGAATTTAAATAATAAATTGAATCAAGTATTGAACCAGGTTACAAATTAATACACATCAACACATCACAACCTAGAGATTAATTTTAATAAAACCAAAATTATGCAATTCCGACCAGTTCAAAAATCACCACTAAATATCGCTTTTACTTATAATAATATACCTATAGGAACTGTTGAAGACTTCAACTTGTTAGGCCTGGAAATCGACTGCCAAGTAAACTGGAAAGCCCATATATATATAATAAAGAAAAAAATAGGCTATCAAAATTCACTTACGTATTACGAGAAATAAAGCAAACCACAGATGTCCCCAGCGCTCTGTCAGCATATTACGCATACACATCTTCGTGGCTATCATACAATTATTAGCAATTATTTATAATGCAAAAAAATTATAAGAATCTTGGCAAACATAAAAATTCCAGAAAGTTGTAAGCCCCACTTCAAAAAGTTGAATAAAAATTAAAATTTTGACTGACGTCACTCGACGTCGTCGACGACTAATTATATTTGGGAAACATGCAAATTTGTAAAAGAACCACCCAGAACTATTTACCAAATTAAGTGAAACAAATTACAAATACTCAATAAAAATAGGCTACTATTGCCGAAATCTACTCTTGCTTTGCATAGCTCTAGTTCCTACTGTATGGCAGTTAAAATTTTTAATAAACTAAATGACACAAAAAATTTAACGAGTACTACATTATTTTTATCCAAATTAGTTATATTTAATTGAAAAATGTTTCTATAATTTAAATGAATATTTTGATACAAATATTATTTAATTTGTGTGGACAACTTCGGCCTGTGCCTATCTACATATTTACCTATATGTGCCTATATAATTATTTTTTTCTTAATTTTATTTTTATTTATAATAATAATAATACTAATTTTTTTACTTGACATTCATTATCATCAATATCATTACAGCCCTTCACAAGTCCACTGCTGAACATAGGCCTCCCCCAAATAACGACACAAAGCACGGTCCTGAGCCACCTGCATCCATCGACTTCCTGCATGTCTTACCAGGTCGTCACTCCATCTAGTGGGGGGTCGCCCTACACTACGCCTACCGGTACGAGGCTGCCACTCCAGAACCTTTCTTCCCCATCGGTTATCGGTTCTTCGAGCTATATGGCCGGCCCATTGCCACTTCAGCTTACTAATCCGTTGGGCTATGTCGGACTTGACATTGAGATTATTAATTTAATTAAATTTACAGAATTTTAGAATAATATAATCTAATAATGTAATGTATTAATGAAATCTAATATTGTAGTTTAAAAATGATATTTAATATTTTTATAATTGATACGCCCAAACTGTGTTCAAATAATGTGGACTATTTTTTTTTAAACATCACATCTATTGTTACCATTTGATTGCAATAAAGATTATGATTATGATTATCTCAAAATCATCTGGTAGCATCAGCATCATATCAAACCCCCATTGTCATAAGAGGTAAGACTTTTCTTCTGTGCTTCACTTGGCCTACGCCTCCCCCGACATATAAAATATTTTGTGTCGATCTCTGTATATTTTGGTTAGATCGATTTGGAAATCGATACACAACGTGCGACACGGCTACATCTCTAAGGAAGTTTCAAAAAGGAAGGTCAGTGACAGTGACGTCATCACGATGAAGAGTAGTGTTGTGGTTTTCTATTATTTTATTGTTATTGTTTGTTTTTATTTATGTGCAAAGTACATATATCCAAAGAGTGGAAGACAGCACAAGATTAAATAAAACATACCAGATTATAAAGAGTCATTTATTGCATAAAAAACCAACAAAATCAGGTTATTTTGTGTTATCGATATATCAACTCTTGGCAACACTATTTTTTCGTAGGTATTTTTGTTCAATTTTCGCTTTGGCGTACAGGACACGGTAATGCGTTTTTGGCGTGGCGCTCAAAAGGTTAAACGGAACTGACATGCCTAAAACTATAAGTTTTCAATATATTCTACACAAATAATAAATAATATTGTACAAAAATAATTTTGAATATGCAAATCTGGCAAAATGGTCACACTGCCCACAGTAGAACATCGACGAACATCGGGAACACACTAATACTGATGATGTCACCAGCTGCGGCTGCGAGGTTGCATATCATACAAGGAATTTAAATGCGATAGATGTACCACGTGTAGTTCACCTATAATGTGAGCGAATCGCGTGACTGACAAATCGACATTACATCCCAACCTCTTATAAGTCTAAATTCAATATGCGAAAGGTTTCCTTTTGATACACTGATTGTAGCATACTTACTAACACCAAATTTAGCTAAAATTCCGTATTTTATGATTTCGTATAAAACTACTGCAACTTACTCTTATTTGTACGCGATGGAATGCTTTTTCTCTTTTTGATTACAGGTTCCACTTCTTTATTTTCGATCAAGTACTTGAAGTGGCAAAAAAGTTCGTAGTTTTCGATGGTACCAAAAACTGCCTATATGTGGTACCAGTCAAAATTAGCGATGGATATGACATCGATTGGAATGTTATACTGGATTACCATGAAGTACCACCAGTTGCGGTACCGTCCGTAGAGGTAATAATTACACACTTCATTTCTCAGAATTTTATGTTCGTAATAAGTTATATCATTTAGTTTCGTTATACTGTGTTTATTTGGGGTATAATTTTTTTCCTCATCTTGTTGGGCTGCATAAATATATCAAAGAATACCACAACTATAATGAAATATATAAATAAAAAAATACATTAATAAAAACCCAACCAGATGGAAACACTCGGCAGGGGAGACAACACGGCCGCTAACCACGGCCTTCGACGCACACTATGATAATATCAAAACGAGACAGCGCGCGAAATAAATTGTTTCAGGTCTGACCTAGACGAGCGCTCACGCTGTATTGAACGCAGAGTTTTTTTTTGCGCCCGAAGCAAATATGGGCAACCCTCCGGAAAGCGGGGGAGGGAGGTTGATAATGCTCATAGCATACCACGCAGCCGGCTGCGTGGTTATGTGGAGACTTTTACCCACTAAACTCAACCTTTTAGGAATTGGCTTAACTTAACGCAGAGAGCCGGCGCAATGAAATATATACTTTTATTTAGTTAAATAAAAAATAATAGTAACGATTTAAAAAGTAATAATCATAGTAAAGTTTAAACAAATGTTGATGATTAAGTAAAGTAAAGTTACATCCTATATACGTCCCACTGCTGGGCTCAGGCCTCCCCTCATTTCTGAGAGGGTTTAGGGCAAGGAAGTGTCCGCCGCGCTGCCCAAATGCGTGTTGACGAACTTCACATGTCTTCGAAATATTTTTTTTCTTATTCCTCAGACATGCAGGTTTCCTCACGATGTTTTCCTTCACCGCCGAGCACGTGGTAAATCAGCACTTAAAATTGCAATTAACAATTTTATTGGTGCCGGCGGGGATCGAACCCGGGTTACTCGCGTTCTGTTATATTTACAGCGAGCGTTAACCACTGAGCTACCACGGCTCTCGATTATTTAAGTATAAATTTTACGTTAAGATGATGTAGAACTTTGGAGATATTGGGGCTTGTATCGAAACTTTTTCAATAGATAATTGAATTATGTCGATTTTTTTCTCTTACGTTTAAAGCATTTATCGAAAATGTATTTTCGTATTCGTATTCGTGACCACAAATCCTCGCGAAAGAACACCGATTCCTACCAAGGATGATACGTGAGGCTATTGAAATTAAAAAACATCCTAATTTCAATAGAGAACGGGGCTGGGTACTACCACCTGCTTGGGATCCTATCATCATCATCATCATCATCATTACAGCCCTTCACAAGTCCACTGCTGAACATAGGCCTCCCCCAAGTAATGCCACAAAGCACGGTCCTGAGCCACCTGCATCCATCGACTTCCTGCATATCTTACCAGGTCGTCACTCCATCTAGTGGGGGGTCGCCCTACACTACGCCTACCGGTACGAGGCTGCCACTCGAGAACCTTTCTTCCCCATCGGTTATCGGTTCTTCGAGCTATATGGCCGGCCCATTGCCACTTCAGCTTACTAATCCGTTGGGCTATGTCGGTCATTCTGGTTCTACTGCGGATATCCTCATTTCTGAGTCTATCACGCAGAGAAACTCCGAGCATAGCCCTCTCCATAGCTCGCTGAGCGACCTTGAGCGTCCTCATACGGCCAGCAGTGAAGGACCACGTCTCTGATCCGTAAGTCATCACTGGCAACACGCACTGGTTGTACACTTTAGTTTTCAGAGATTGAGGTATACCTGACGAGAAGATGTGTCGTAATTTCCCGAACGCTGCCCAGCCGAGTTGAATCCGTCGATTGACCTCTCGGTCGAAGTTGGACTTACCTAGTCGGACTATTTGTCCCAGGTAAACGTACTCGTCAACAACTTCGAGCATAGTGCTCCCCACAACTACCGGCATAGGTGTGACATGGACATTGAACATAATCTTTGTTTTGTCCATGTTCATCTTAAGACCTATCCGTTGGGAGACACCATTGAGGTCATTGAGCATAGTGCTAAGGTCCTCCAGCGATTCTGCCATAAGGACTATATCGTCGGCAAATCGAAGGTGAGTGATGTACTCGCCATTGATGTTAATACCGTATCCTTTCCAGTCCAGTAGCTTGAAAACGTCTTCCAAAGCAGCGGTGAAGAGTTTCGGGGATATAACGTCACCCTGTCTTAGAGCGAGACTTACGCAACTTTAATACTTCTCGTATTAAAGAAGCGATCGAGCGGAACCAGGGCTCCAAAGTCTTTGCCAGAGATCTGTCTGCCAGAAAGAGCCAACTGTCAAGGCTGAAGACTGAGTGTGGCAACATCGTTTCCGGGACACCTGAGATTCTGAGTGAGATTGAGAGGTTCTATGGGCAGCTGTACACATCATCGTTGGAGCCACACTCAAGTGTGAGTAACGATCCAAGAGCAAGTCTTATCCGACACTATTCCGATGATATCCCGGACGTCAGTCTGAGCGAGATTAGAATGGCTCTCCAACACCTTAAAAACGGCAAGGCCCCGGGCGAGGATGGAATTACAGCGGAGCTTCTGAAAGCGGGTGGAACACCGGTACTTGAAGTCCTTCAGAAGCTCTTCAATTCCGTCCTCCATGGTGGCACTACTCCAGAGGCGTGGAGCAGAAGTGCGGTGGTCTTGTTCTTTAAGAAAGGCGACAACGCTCTCTTGAAGAACTACAGACCGATTTCCCTTCTGAGCCGCGTCTACGTGCTGTTTTCGAGAGTCATTACGAATCGTCTCGCAAGCAGACTCGACGACTTCCAGCCTCCCGAACAAGCCGGTTTCCGAAAAGGCTTCAGTACCATAGACCACATACATACCCTGCGGCAGATTGTACAGAAGACTGACGAGTACAATTTGCCACTTTGCCTGGCGTATGTGGACTATGAGAAAGCCTTTGATTCCGTCGAAATTTGGGCGGTGCTGCAGTCCCTTCAGCGGTGCCAAGTTGACTGTCGGTATATCGAAGTGCTGAAGTGTTTGTACAGTAGGGCTACGATGGCTATCCGAGTACAGAACCAGAGCTCGAAACCTATCCAACTGCAGAGAGGTGTAAGACAGGGTGACGTTATTGGGATCCTATAATCAATAAAATTAAAACTAAACCCAAGCATACCACTGCAAGACCTCAGGACATAGTCAGTTCATTTTGCATAGATCGGACCATAAACAATAATTAAAAAAGCTGAAGGTACTCCGGGTTTAACAATGACATTGGGACGTCAGTCATCTCAGTCCCCCGTGACCATGGGTGCTGGAAAGCGCCCGAAACGTCGGGAATTAAAAATAAAAGTAATTAAAAGCAAAAATAAACGCGATAAAATCCGTAAAAGTAGTTTTAATCATGCATCTGCATTTTGATTCGTAATCGAGGATAGATGTAGGTGTCTATGAACCACAGCTACCATATCCTATAAAAAAATTGCCTTGAGCTTATTGTTGTAGAGAAAACGAACTATTTTACTAAGTAATTGTTATTTCAAACAACGAACGGCAAACATTCAATTTCAACGAGGAAACCTTGTAATTTCGCGTTCTTTTATACTCCTCTTAAAATATTGCCGTATTCACGAGCACTATAAACGTACGCGTTAGGTATATTATTAAAACAAAACAAGAAACACAAAACGTAACAACAAGAATAATAACGACAAGAATTTAATAAACAAAACTATTAAGCTGGCGCTCACGCGCACGTGATAGTCAAAACGGAACTGTCTGAAAAACTTTAATTAATAATCAATACCGCCAAAACAAATGCCCACCGTTAAGTGCGTGCGTCCTTGCGCTAAGCACTTTGATCATTTCTACAGAATGATAAACCGTTACGACATTCCCAACTTTTATTTTATAAGCTTTGTTAACCCTACGACTAGTCTTCACAAGGAATTTAGAAGTAATTGTTGCCATTTTTAATACATTTAGACAATCAATTGTATCCTGACGCAACAAGCAGTTCGTTTTCACAAAAATGATATGAAAATTAATAAACGTATCTAACTGGCACTCACACAATTCTCAACACTATTTCATCGTTAACTTTGATTTTGTACAAGAAAATAGAAATGGAATGGTACTGAATAATTTAGTATTAAAATTAATTGCAATTATGATCGACAGTTTAATCTATCAGAATTAATCGAAAAAATAATTATTTTACTTTATTTTAATTGACTTTCTGTTTTTAATCCGTCCAATCTTCGATCAATGGTTATTCTGGAACAAAAATGAGTCGCTCAAGTGGCCACGTTTGCACACACGTAAACATCTATATTTCTTACTATGAAATATAGAAAAAAGATTAAAAATATTAACAACTTCAGTTTATTATAAACCTTATCACTCAAACATAAAGTTTAAATACCATTGCAAAATATGTTTATTTAAGTTATGGCATCCGACAAAGATACCGCTTCAATATAAAAGTCATAAGTACACAAATAATTATTCCAAAATGAAACTTAAAATGTATGAGATAAGGTTAAAAATATTATGTTAACAATTTCGTTCTTACTCTATTTTATTCGTGGTATTATTTTTCAATGTTCGTTAAAATGCTATGATTGGACCATATTAATTTGAAATAAGACCACAAAAGTATTTGTGGAGGAGGTAGGAGATAAATTTCGGTGCAACATGTGTAAATTGCACAGTGCGGGGCGATACGAGTCCGCCGGGTAGGGTAGAGTAAGCCGTGAGAGAAAGTGTGAGTAGCGTAAGTTTAGTACAGTTAGCTAGATAGAGGAATTCGGCGTCAGCTCATTTTATTTAAGGTTCCACTGCTGATTTTATGTAAGTTTTTTTTAAGTTTAAGTATTTTTATGAAATTATCGTTTCATTTAGCTATACTAACATGATGGGGTGTGAATAAAGCTAATAAAACGTTGTGAAAAGATGATGTTTTTCATCAGGATCTATTTTCTTTCTGAGCCATCATAAAAGGTATCATTAGTACTAACGTCTAACTTCGTTTCCGAGAGCGTTTTACTAACAACTGGTATTAAATTTTATTCTCATTAAATTTACATTTTCAGATACGTAAATCAATAAGGGTGACAAACGAAAATTACAAATATCACGTCGTTTCTCCGTGGTATCGCGCCACTATTTTCCCAGACAGGTAATAATAGTAGGTTTAATAACTGCTTCCTTACTACTTTATATAATTTTTCTTACAACAATCACAGCTTAAGCCACGAATAAAAGACGCTTTGTAACGAGTATAAGATGGCATCATACCATCACCGTTAACGCTATAGCCTGTTAAAATCCACTGCTGAACAAAGGCGTCCTCCATAGATTGCCTCATAGGGGGATTAGTTTCCATAGCTGCCACGCTTGGCAAGCGGGTTGGCAACCGCAGTTTTTTATTTTTTTAGTCTTTATTAGGAACACGTTGCTATCAATCTTCTGATTTGTTTCTCTCTTTCGTCTCTTACGACATCCACGGGATAATATAGTGGATATTTGTTACATCGCCACTACACGGTATCATAAAATCCATAATAATGCGAATCCTTACCATATGCAATGGTGATTGATAATACACACATGGCAAATTCTTCTTACTAGACTTTCATACTATAGAGAGATCCATGTTCGGGTGTGAACTGTTTTCTGCTGACGAATAGGATGATAAAATGTGACCTTTAACTCATATTTTCAGATACATTGTCTCAAATGTGCTAGAACACATGACCCCACAGTCTTGCTTCGAATCTAACGCATTCGAGACCTATGCGGACTATTACCGCAGTAAATATAACTTAGAAATTGAAGGCAGCAAAGACCAGCCGTTGCTTGAGGTAAGTCTGAAAATAACGATCATTATATTTATTTTTTCACAGATCATTTTTGTACATGGACCTCATAAAACATCGCCTGCAGATATTGAATTGTAGATAGAGTTGACAAATTCGAAACATTGCTTATACAGGTTGGCGCAATAGAACATGCGTATTTGAAAAATTTGCAAAAAAAGTTAATTTATAAGCTATGGTTAAAATACAACTATGAATCGTTATTATACATGCAGTTTATTTTTAAAAATAATACCATGTAAACGATCGCCCTCTCTGCATCGGCACTCCTTTAACCATAGAAAAAGTTTCTTCAGAGCATCGCTGCCATTTGCGCTCGCTGTAAGAGCTCCGCCGCTACCCAAACACGCTGTCTTCCCCGTATAAAAAATCTTATTTTTGGAGGGGTTTGGATGCAAACCCCTCCAAAAAAGATGATGCAAAATGCACATTTTATTGAGCCATCCTATATAACGAAAGCGAAAAGCGGAAAAATATCACTGATAAAATATATATACAGTGCAGGGACACTTACACACTTAAAGGGCTTACACATAAAATAGAAATTCCTCTATTTTATGTGTAAGCCCTTTGTGACTAATCATTTATCAGATAGCGGAGTATATTTCCCTTCCCTCCGGACCGCGAAAGCGAACAGACGTCCTCCGTGATTGTGTTGTTTTTATAAATAAAATAATTCTTCAAAAATATACTAAAAATTCGTGCGTGTACCAGGGCAACATACTCGTAACGTAGTGCCATCCTGCTTCATTGAAGAGGTAAGCTACGCCCTTTGTATTATTGCCAGCGTGTATACTAACGTGCATTGGCTGCATAATTTTTGGCTCCACCCACTGCCTTTGCTCAAGAAGCGCCTGCTATTATAAAATAGCTAATCTGCAGAAAATTATTGCTTTGCTCAACATATTTAAAAATCATCATGCTTCGTTCACCGAATAAAGCAGGATCAGACTCCGATATCTCCAAACTACCGAAAACCCCTTCTTCGCTTGCGGTTTCAAGACAAAAAAGACGTCACGATGAACTCTCAAGGGATGACTTTCTTTCGTTCAAGGAAGAAGTTATGCAAATGCTGAAGTCATGGAAAGCTGATCATGACAACAGACTATCTAACATGGAAAATAGTCTTACAAATATAAAGAAGATAAATACAGACATAGAAAAGTCGCTGGAATTTATATCTCAGAAATATGAGGATATGCAAAACAAAATAATAACGCTTGAAAAACAATGTAAAGATAATCATAAATACATTATATCTCTGCAAGAAAAAGTTGAGGAACTCTATCGAAATAGCAGAAGAAATGGCATAGAGATACGTAATATTCCTGAAAAAGAAAAAGAAAACAAAAACGATTTAACGCAATTAGTGATCTACCTCTCGAAAACTTTAAATATTAATTTACAATCGTGTGATATTAAGGATATATTTCGTGGCCCCGGAAAAAAGGGTTCCACCAGACCCATAATTGTTGAATTAGCAAACATGTCACAAAAGCAGACAATACTTAGCTCTGTAAAATCATTTAATAAAAACAATCCTAGTAAAAAACTCAATGTGTCGCATTTTGGTATAAATACTATTGCCTCTCCAGTGTATGTATCCGAACACCTTACCCCTAGTACGAAGAAAATATACTATCTGGCACGTCAGTTATCAAAAGAAAAAATGTACAAGTTTTGCTGGACTGCAAACGGAAAAGTTTTTATACGAAAATCAGACGGATCACCTGCGATATTAATTAGAAATGAAGCCCAATTCGAGGATCTAAAATGTGAATGACTAGATATTGCTTCATTGTGCCTTAAAATACATTTTAACTATTCACTACGTTACTACATGTTAATTTTAAGGTTTATTTCTTTGTTTTTCTTATTAATATTTATAGGATTAGTTTTAAAAATTAAGATCTTAACACAAACACTACATAAACTCACAAACCTACAAACAAAACATACTACACACAAACACTTAAACTCACTCATCAGACTCGTCCTAACTCGTACAGTATTCACAATTAAACATTTCATAAAAACTCCATTACTCCTAATAATCACTCACCATAATCAACATGATACATCTTGCTTTAAATTATATACGCTATTGTACGTTGAACGCTGTACTAACCATTACAAAACCTATGCCCGTAAATTACAACTTAAAAATACCTCATTTATTACATTTTTGCTTGTGTTATTTATAATTAACTACACCTATTCGGTACAGTCTATTGTTCAAATAAACGATACAATCGTATTCTCTTACATATACAAATTATACGTCTTAAAATGTTTAAAATAAAAATGGCGAATAATATTAACTCATACATCGAAAGTATAGACCAGTGTACATTAAGTGAATCCTATTATTGTACTCCGGAAGAGACTAAACATTATATTAAACAACCAAACAAATTCCTAAAGATACTAAATCAAAATATAAGATCGATAAATTGCAACTTTCTTAGTTTACAAACCTTACTTGACCGAATCTCATTTGATTGCGATGTGTTGATTTTAACAGAGCGCTGGTTGCCCTGCTCAAGTAATCAAAATATTCCTTATATACAGCACTATACTATGTACAAAACTTGTAAACACCAAAATCAAAGTGATGGGGTAATTATTTACATTAAATCATGTTATTTGGTAAATATTGAAGAAATAAATTTTAATAACACAGCGTCTGGACTAATTGCTACGATTGATTCAAATACAGTGCTTATTTGCATTTATCGATCACCATCAAATGAAAACATAAAGGAGTTTCTTTCGACACTCAACGCTATACTTACACCGCTTTCAAAATGTAAGACAGTCATAATAACTGGAGATATAAATCTAGATATAAAATCTTCTTCCTTAGATACCCGCAGCCATGAATATCTCAATTGTCTTGCATACCATAGTCTTCTTCCTGCTCACACCCTTCCAACCAGAGGAGAACTGTATTGATCACTTTATGTTGCGCACCAAATACATGGCTGTAGTTTTGGGTTTTCGACACCACTATCACTGACCATTATTGCTCTGTTTTGTGTATCGAAAACGAAACAAAAATAATGTAATTTCCACTATTTCAAAAGTTAACTTTGACAATCTTGATAAAGCAGTCGAAAAACTTAACTTAGCACCCATTTATTCCATGTTAGATCCTAATACAGCAACTGAAGCTCTTATTAAACTATTATCGGATGCAATAGCTGAAAATTCATCAGTTAAAAAAATTTCCTCCAGAAATAGAATACTTAAACCTGATGACACCGGGTTTGTTAAGGTGTATAAAAAATAGAGATTCAATGCATAGAAAAGTAAAAAAAGTCTCCTAATAATTTAACACTGTCTATCACTTATAAGCGGTATAGAAACTTCTGCATAAAAATTTTAAAGAAAGCAAAGAGAGATTATGATGCTCAAGAAATAAGTAAAGCAGGAAAAAACCCTAAAGCACTTTGGGATACTATCAAAAAAATCACAAATACATACATTCCACAATAAACAAGCAACATGTCAGTTAGTTACACAGGCAAGGTCTCTAAAATTTTTCGTTGATGTAGGAAAGGAGCTTGCGGACAATATAATTAAGTCTAACAATTTACCTCAGTTTACTTCTTCACAATCTTTTACATGTATTTCTTCTTTTGTTCTTGAAAAACCCAATACTGATGAAATAATATCAATCATAAAGAGTTTAAAGTCAAATGTAGCTACCGGTTGGGATGCCATATCTTCCGCAATATTAAAAAGATACTCTGCTACGCTAGCACCTGTGCTAAGCCATATATTCAATCTCTGTTTCGAAAATGCTATTTTTCCTAACTCTTTAAAAAAGTCTATAATTCATCTCATCTTCAAGAGTGGTGATGGGACTTTAGTTACTAATTATTGCCCTATTGCCGTACTACCAGCTTTATCTAAAGTCTTAGAACGTTTAGTGAATAATAGACTGCTCCATTATCTTGAACACTTTAAATTAATCTCACCTCAACAATTCGGATTTCGTAGAAATAAATCAACTTCTGACGCAGTTCATGATTTAATAAATTTCATAGTCACTAATCTAAATAGTCATAAAAAGGTCCTAACGATATTTCTAGATCTAGCAAAAGGCTTTGACTCAATTCCTGTTTCTACTCTTTTAGCTAAGTTAGAGAAAATTGGTGTCACAGGTTTACAGTTAGACTTTTTCAGAAGTTACCTTATAAATCGCACTCAAATGGTTAAAATATCGGACTGCATCGGTGACGAACTCCCTGTTACCTATGGTGTCCCCCAGGGAAGTATTCTTGGCCCAACTCTATTTCTTGTTTTTATTAATGACTTGTGCAATCTTCACATTGATAACGCAAAAATAGTCTCTTTTGCAGATGATATAGCTATTACTTTCTATGCAACATCTTGGAAAGATCTTGAAAATATATGACAACGTAGTTTTAATCAAATATATAATTGACTTTTATCTCACACTCTTACTCTTAATACTTCCAAAACTAAATTTATAACTTTCTCTATCAGTCCCACCTCGCAACCAAATATTCCCATCAAGTTGAAAGCTCACTCTTGTTCCCTACAGTCTTCGCCTTGTCTGTGTCCACAGATAAATTCTGTAGACAATATAAAGTATCTAGGTATTGTACTTGATAAACACCTTAATTTTAAAATGCATATAAATCTCTTAACGAGTAAAGTTCGCAAGCTAATATATATATTTAAAACACTACGATATGTTGCAAATTCCATAATTATACGCAACGTTTATTATGCTTTATGCCAGTCTATCATCACATATTGCATTTCTTGCTGGGGTGGTGTTGCAAAAACAATATTAAAGCCACTTGAAGTTGCGCAAAGAGCTATCTTAAAGGTTGCTACTTTCAAACCAATGCTATTTCCAACTACTCATCTATATCAAAACTGCGCTGTTCTTAGTGTGAGGCAGCTCTTTATACTGCACACAGTATTACTTCAGCATAATAAGACTCCTTTCATTGTAATTTCTAAACGGCGTAAAGACAAAGTATGCACACTTCCGCTAGCCAAATTTTCATTTGTAAAAAGATTTTTTTATTATGTAGGTCCTCTACTTTACAACAAAATAAATGCGGAAATAGAGATTTACGAAATGTCAACATTTAATTGTAAAACTTCTGTCCGCTCTTTCCTGCTAAATAAGTCATATGATAATACAGAGCAATACTTGTTAACATTGTTATAAAATTACGTCGCATTGTTATATATTTATTTCATTTTTTTTAAGTATTACATATACATTCACTGACACACACACACACACCCACACACACACACGCACACGCACACGCGCACACGCACACACGCACACACACACACACACAGAGAGAGAGAGAGAGAGAGAGAGATAGAGAGAGAGAGATTATTTTTATTATGTCTCTAAAATTGTATAAATATTATTTCTATTTAAAAAATTATAATAATTTTAAACAATACAACTATGTATTCCTAATCAACAGGGGAATGGGACTGTATCTCCTAAATACAGGTTACTCAGTAACCTAGCTAGGAGACTCAGGTTTCTACCCATTTCAAATTGTGAACTATGAATGTCAATAAAGAATTATTATTATTATTATATTTAAAAAAACAGGCTATTAAAAAAAACAGGCTTCTTCTGAATATAATTACTATTTCGTTACTGTTTATGAAATTACAATTTAGTATATTTAATCAACGTCACTTTTACTTACACTCAACCTCAAAATCTACTTTTTGTTATTACTCATAAAATTTTATATTTCATTCATTTACAGGTACGAAACATCAACACACGAATGAACTGCTTAATGCCAAGGTCCGCTACAATCAGCGCTTTTACAGAGAAACAGCGGAAATTAGTATCTGCCGCACAGGGCGACGATAAACCAAAGTTCATGGCAGAATATTTTATTCCCGAATATTGCATCAAATACGACTTCCCCGGGGTGCTGTGGTACAAGGCAATTTTGCTGCCGAGTATTATACACAGGTAATTATTGTTGATTTAATAAGAACCGCAGCTAGCGCGAGCAACCCGATATATTTGTTATTATAGTTGTAGCACGAATGGATCGACTGGACTGGGGCAGAACCACGCTCTCACAGAATACAAGCTTAAAATAGCATTTCAATGCTGCTGTGTTTAGTATGGTGAGTATAGAGAACCGGAGACCATTTATTACTGGAAACAAGACGGTCCATCTTGGTCCAAAGGGGTGGAAACGCATCTACATTTTGATTTTTAATCAAGGTATCTATGGACTACAGCATTCACTTACAATCAGGTGGTTTGTGTGCTAGTTTATCACACGTAATATATTATTATTGTTTTTTATGAAGAACGTTTGCTGTGAGGAAACCTAGATAACGCCAAAATATTTCTTCAGCATGTACTGAAGCAGTGCGGTAAACGAAATGCTCCATTACCGTCTCTTAAATTAAGGACTGCTCTTAAAACAACTGTAACTTATCGTAACTCGTAACATCACAACAAACTATGAGTCGCAAAGAGATAGTATTCGGGTATTCAGATAAGCAGATTGATGTACGTCTAAAACCGACAAATCGGCATTAATTGCGGTCACTGGTGAAAATACTGTATGAACTGCACTGTATGAAAAGTTACTTTAGTTAGTAGTTTTGTACAGTTATGAAACGGATAGTGTAAGAAAAAGCATTAAGTCGCAAATACCCCTGAAATTGAAAAAAAAAGTGCATATCGTGAGCCTAACCTTCGGTTAATTGCTTAATTTTAATCAAAATAAAAAAAATTTAACAGTTACTTTTTAACATTAAATTGCCTACTTCTTTTCGCAAATCAATCAATTAAAATATGTATAACTGGACTCATAATAATAACATTTTACACTAACTTGTTTTAAATTAGGTAAATCTACATTCAAGTTCGCGTAAGCTTGCAGCATTGCAGCTAACAGCATTTCTTCATTTTGACCAATTAATTAATAACATTCTTTTCTTCAGAGTTGTGATGTTACTAACCGCCGAAGAACTTCGCGTTGAAATAGCTAAAGCCACTAAATACGGACAGCTTGTATTGGCCAAAGGTAGGTCTTATTTTGTAATTTTTGTGTATTTGTACTTTTCCGTAAGATAACATAAATACTACATATAATGCTTTGTTATTCGTTGTAAACTAACGCGTTATTTCATTGGCCGACACGATAACGATATAATTATTTTTACGGTACAGACTTACCGATAACGGAGCACTGAAATCTATGGAGCGACCTATGGTGCGACCGACTATCGGCGATGACATGCCCGTCCGTACCTCACCCACCGGCACCACGCACACTCCCTACTCAATAGTCCTAATAAAATCGAGGATGGGTCGCGTAAATACACATAGAAACCTGTGTGGGTGACCTGTTTGACATTAATTGCATTTATTCGCTCACTATCATTCGCTGTTCGCTCTCACCTTCAAACAGCAGTCTCATACCATTCCATTGAAGCGTACAACATGCGTCCTGTCTCTAATATGCTGTTTATATATAACTAATCCATGCTTATAGCGTTACTATAGCAGCCTATCAAAAGCCCATATTATTGCCTCTTAGGGAGATATTTACCATATTTGCCACGCTTGGCACGCGGTTTTTTATTTTTTAGTTATTATTAGGAAGAATGCTGGCAATCTCATAGGTTCGCAAAGGAGAGTTAATGAGTACAGAAAGCTATAATTTAAATATAATTGGTGTATATTAAATGAAATAAAATATTAATTGATTATGTTTATATTACCTATATCAAACACATCTGTGTCAGTCCGTGGTCAAACAGTCACACCGAGTAGATTGACACTAAAGAGTTATAAAATATTGCCAACAAATTACTATACATAACTCAAAAATAAGTGCACAAACAAAAAAATAATAATAAAGTATAATCATAACTTTATATTTTGCAATAAAAAATATTGAGGTCACTTACCGGAATAAGAGCAATTTAAAAATACCCGTATATACAACACGTAACATAATTAACGCACTTTGAGAAAGTAGTTTGTTCATAATCGTTTACTGAATCGATTCCTAACATCTTTAATATAGGTAATTTTTTATCCCAAAAATAATTAAAACTACGTAAATTACAGTCACACTAAATCTGTACAGTCAAAATAAACTGAAATGGACCGTAACTTAAGGCAATGAGACTTTTAAGTCAGTGCAGTTTTATTTGTATTATTACTAATTCTGTCATTCAATAAAAATAAAGAAAAATGAACTTTATTTCAAGCACGTTAAAGTCTTGGCGTTCGTGGATTTGTACTGTGACCACAACATTCTTCCGGAATTAGTATAACTAATTTGATAAATAAGCAGTGCATAAAAATGTTCAACTAATAATTCAGTATATTAATTATGATTATGACATAATATATTAATTGGTGTGTCTAAGGGTGTGCGTTAATTACGTTACATATTGTATATATACGGGTATTTTTGAAGCTCTCCTGAAAACGAAGACAGACGATAGTATTAGGGAAACCTTTGATGATGTGATGAAAATAAAATCGATCACGGTGAAAAAATAAAACACATTTTTTTACAACGTTTAATTAGCTTTATTCAAGCTCCATCGTGTTAGTACACCTAAATTAAACGGTAATTTCATAAAAAAAGTTATGAAAATACTTAAACATAGAACCAGCAGTGGAACTTCAAATACCTAACTAAGGAAAATTCTTCGTGTCGCTTAAGCGCTCATCAAGTTTTCACAAATAACCTTATTTTGGTAGTTCGGTTTTCGTTTAAAAACTTCCGCGCGCGCCCCTTTTTAACCTTGCGCCCCTCGACACGTGCCTAGTTTGCCTTGAGGATAATCCGTCACTGTCCGGAGGTAAGGTCTCATCATAACTGACAAAACTAGTCCAAACTCAACACACCTATGACTATTATTAATCTTCGAGGTGTTCCAGTTGCATTCAACGAAGTATACATTCAAGTCACTCCGTCAAGTCCGGGGGTAAGGTCTTATCATAACTAACTTAACCAGCACAATCTTGGCACATCTAGTTCTACTCGTCGAAGGTTTACAGTTGCAAATACCGAAGTACACTTTCAGGTCACTCCATAAATTCTAAGACGTATATTTATATATGTAAATCCTACGTAGTTTTAACGAAACAATATATTGTAATAAAATGATTATAAAAATAATAATCATATCTTACCTTGGTCAAGTATGTATCATTTTGGAATATTTTGTGTTTCTACAGCGATCGATATTTCATCACGAGCCGCTGTAAACAAACAATACAGTAACTCACTCGCGACTTCGACCAAGCCCGGAGTAAGTCAACGTGTATCTGTATTTTGTAAAATATATTATTAAAAGACTGTTCAAGCACCGAAAATTTGAGAATCTTTCAGCCGAAAAAATTAATTAAAACTAAACAAAACAAAATTAAACTGCCATTTACACTCCATGGCTTCCTACATGATAGATGAAGTAATTAAAAAATATATTGAGTTGAACAATTGATATTTTCAAAAGTTATCGTGTTAACCCCTCCATGCGGACTAGCTAAATCTACACCATAAGCCACTAAAACCACTTTTTTAATGTAAAAATAGCAATTAATCGATTTAAAAAACATAAGTTCAACAATCATTAATCTTTCTGACAATGTGCTTTTTATATCAATTATATGTTGATTAAGATTGTTAGATACGATTTCATGCAATAAAACGTCGGTTTTTAGGCGCTAGTAGAACAAGAGTAGCAAAAAAGATACGAGCCGTGGTAGCTCAAGGGCGAAGTACTCGCCGTAAACGTCAGTGACCAGACACCGATGAAATTGTTAGTTTGATGAATTATCTTTACATTATGAAATAGAATAAATGTATATCAAACGATATCTATTTTATATAATACATATTGTTCAATTCAAACATATATTGCTTACACCTTTCTAGTTGTTGATGTTGTGATATTCCTTAGTCTACTCAATAGGGTAACAAAGAAAAACAGACTACGAGGGTGGATTGAAAAGTACTCGGCCTAACCAAGAAAATAAACACATACTAAATCAGTTATATTTTTATTTTTCTACATAATCACCATCAAGTTCAATACACTTTTGCCACCTCCCCTTCCAAGCATTTAGACCGTTGAAAAAAAATGATTCTTCCTTAGAGTCAAAATATGCGTCTACAGCTGCTTTGACCTCGTCGTTTGTCGAAAATCTTTGACCTCCCAAGTGCTTTTTTAGGTTAGGGAACAGAAAGAAGTCTGATGGTGCCAGATCAGGTGAATACGGCGGATGCGGTAACAGTTCAAAGCCACAGTTGTGAATTTCAGCCATTGACTGTACTGACGTGTGAACACGGGCGTTATCTTGATGAAACAGGACTTTTCTTCTGAGCATTCCTCGACGTTTTTCTTTTATTTCCTCTCGTAAACGACGTAGTAAGGTGCAATAGTAATCAGAGTTTATAGTCTGACCCCTTTCAAGATAATCAATCATAATCACACCTTTCGAGTCCCAGAACACTGAAGCCATCACCTTATTTGCCGACAAAATCGACTTAGCCTCTTTAGGGGGTGGTGAACCAGGTCTTCTCCACTGTTTTGATTGTTGTTTTGTTTCCGGTGTACAGTAATGAACCCATGTTTCGTCCATAGTAACAAAACGATTCAAAAAATCATCTGCATCTGCTTCAAATAACTCCAAACAGTCGCGTGAAATAGTCAATCGCGTCCTTTTTTGTTCAACTGAAAGCAGTCGCGGAACCCACCTCGCAGACACCTTGTGGAAACCCAACTCGTTGACAATGATGTTTTGAGTTCGTTCATAAGAGATGCCTATAATCTCGGCTATCTCTCTCATTTTTAATCTGCGGTCTTCCATTATTAAATCAGGTACTTTTTTAATATTTTCGTCAGTAGTTGACGTCGAAGGCCTTCCAGAGCGGGGTTCATCTTTCACACTCTCTCTACCACGCTTAAATTCTGCTATCCATTTTTTGACGGATGAATATGACAGAGCACAATCGCCTAATGTACTGACCATGTCATCATGGATGGCTTTTGATGATGGCCCCTTCTTATGGAGGTACTTAATGACGGCACGCTGCTCGATTTGCTCCATTCGCGGAAATTATGTCCGATTACTTTGTTAATAAATTTATAAAATCACAACTAATTATCGCACACGTTTCGAACTTCACACAATGAACTAGTCTGAACTGAACTAAATAATGTGGGTAGATTTGATTTTTAGAATTGAATGGATCTGTGTTAGGCCGAGTACTTTTCAATCCACCCTCGTATAATTTACTAAAATAATAAAATAATTTATACATATTAGCTTCCGATATCGTGGCTAGATCGGATATTAATGCTTATATTATACACTATGTATAAGTACCAACCTCATAAGCTCTTCCACATCATGGGAATTATTTTATTCTTTTAGTTCCAATAGTATCAAGATGATTCGTGCTAGATATCAATAGTAACCTTGCATTCGCTCCACCTCGCGCAGTCACACACACGGAGAGAACATTGTAGTGTGAGTCAATATTACGCCGTTCCAGAACGATCGCGTCGATTTTGACGTGCGCATATTTGAATATACGCTATTAAGAATGTGGTGTGCGTGCGCAGTAAAATCAGTTAAAATAAAGCTTTACCACGCATTTTGAATTTTAAAGATAAAATGGAAAGATTTTTTGAGATTTTTATTTATTAATTTTTCTTAGCCATTTGCCTTTATTACTTATTCTGAACTTTCTCTGTAAATTTGGTCGGTTATTGTAAAATAACCCAGTAATTTTTGACAAAAGAACGTGCTTTCGAACTAAAAAAAAGTAATGACTCACGGACGAATTTCGACTACTGAGCGACCACTATATAGTATATAAATTTTTGTCTATCGAATGAACAAAACACAATATGGTAATCTAGTAAACGCACTAATTTTCACTTGACCACTTTATGTTTGACAATGAGTCAAGAAAGTTCTGCTTTATTACCACGATTTCAGTAGAGTTTCGGTGAATGAAAAAGTTACTAGATAATATCGCTGTCGGCGTGGTATTTTGGTATCTTCATCATCATTATCGGTGTCGGCCGCTGGAAAAACGCTCTTAGTGCCATTGAAATATTACAATATGATACAATAATTAGTTTATTAAAAATAAGAAATATTTTTATCGTCAATCCACTTCCCGTAAATATAACATTCATGCAAAAGTTTTATTGCATTTGCATGCAATCGCATGCAATTTTTCATTCATCGTCATGTGCGACTACTTTTATTTATTTTTATTAGTAATATCGGTAGGTGATGTACTAAATACTAAAAGTATATAGGTTTAAAAGTTAAAATTGAATTATAACTTCATTGAAAAAACAACGCAAATATTTATCAAATATATTATTAATGAATATTTTGATTATTCTCAGTTTCAAGGCACTTCCCTTGTTGCCTCAGCTAGTATCGGAATCCTCGGCGTTGACATATCGAGTGACGTGCAGTTTCGTGGTCACTTGGAAGAGAAGGCCAAATTGGCCTCTAAAAAGCTTGGCGTGCTTAGCAGAGCGGGACAGTATTTCATGCCGGCACACCGCCTGCAACTTTACAAGACGCAGGTTTGGCCGCACATGGAATACTGTTCGAATCTCTGGGCTGGAGCTCCCCAGTACCAGCTCCTTCCATCACTGGGAGTGCTCTGATCAATTGTTAGGAATAATCCCAGCCGCCAAATTTCGTGAACACACTGCGCGGCAATCGTCCCGATACCATCCACACCATCTGGATGCTTGGCGGTCCACCACTGTACGTTTCACAAGGAGTTTTCTTCCGCGTACGATCTCTCTGTGGAATAGTTTACCACCGATGATTTTTCCGGACCGATACGATCTGGGGACCTTCAAGAAAACAGCTTACTCCTTTCTAAAGGGCCGGCAACGCACCTGCAATTCTCCTGGTGTTGTGGGTGATCATGGGCGGCGGTAGTCACTTAACATCAGGTGAGCGGCATGCTCGTTTGCCCTCTTTTCTATAAAAAAAAATAGTCTTTTGTATATAGTTATGTGTACGCACGTAATGCGAAAAGTTCACATCAGCATCGACTGTTTGTCCTAAATGAATTATTCTTCCTTTCTTTTTCTTATTCATCAGACCATAAAAATTCTCTGCTGGATGCGGACGATAACATAGCTGATAACGAGAGTTATAGAGAAAATTCGAGTTAATCGTCACTTGTGAGGCAAATTGACGATCGCAATATTTGACGCCTTACACCTACTGCTGCCTGTCGCCGTAAACAAGTTTCTTGTTTAGTACTGTCTATCGGGAGCCATAAGGTGGGAGGGCGTAATGGCATCCCCATAGATTCTCTCGCAAAGGCACCATACCTGCACCCACCCAACCACTCATGTGCATAGCATTTTAAATATATAGATAAATAAATTTATTTCATGCCAATAATATTAATATGATTAAGTAAAAAAGTAAATAAATACTACAATGGGCGGTCTTACCGCAAAAGCAATTTCTTTATTTAATAAAAAATATGTAATTTAACAGATGAGAAGTGGCTGCCAATAGAGGTGGATCTGCAAGTTGCAGTGAAGTCATTACTATCTCAAGTTGAAAGTCCTGAAGGTCAAATAGGGGCTTTGAAAAACACTATTGACAGGTTTGTAATTCATTTGACATAGGGACAGTTGTAAATTATACAGTGTAACGCTAGGTTTATTACAATAAATGAAAATTTGATCATTACTGGTTCAAAAAAAGTGTTACGAAATAGTTCATCTTTGTTCTTATTTAAAAATAAAAAAGTAAAAATCTAAAAAATGTTCGCACACGCGATTGCGCGGCAATGACGTGTCCGTACGCGTTCGCTCGTTCACTCATTTGCTGTTATGTGCTCTTGCGCCTGTAGGATTCATATTGATCCTAGGAAAGTCTGAATAGAGTCAAATTAGCAACGTTGTTTTCTTTAATTTGAAAACACAGTTTATTGATGATATCATGTGTAAAATTTACTAAAACATTAGAATATGCGTAATTATTTTAAGTCGATGGATGCAGGTGGCTTAGGACCGTGCTTTGTGGCATTACTAGGACTCCCCTATGTTCAGCAGTGGACTTGTGAAGGTCTGTAATGATTATAATGATGATGAATTATTTTAAGACTCATTAAATAAATTTCCTGTGGCTAAAGAACTGAATGTATTTGTCTGATATTTTTGTGTATAATAATAAAACAAATAATAGTAATCTAATGACTGATTTTCACATATTTAGTATTCAAGTAAATAACTTAATTAAATGACTAACTTTAATGATACTTAATTTTAAATAAACTTTTACACGTTATCAACACTTAATATTTATTAGGCTCTTCATTTTTTCCAAGATGTACAATAAAAACCACATTGCTGTCATAAATTTAGTGATTTAATTCGTAATGAGATATTGAACGAAATGAAGGATGAAAGAGTCAGGGAAGCGAAAATATCTAAAAGACTGGGCTTGAGAAGATGGATATGGCTCAAATGCAATTACATCATGAACTACCAGGAAAAGACAAGAAAGAGTATTTTTCTACACTACAGATGTCAGAAGAATCCTTAAATTACTTGTTGTCTAAAGTTAAAAATAAGATAAAGCTATGAATTATAATTAAAATTACAATTATAGTGTGTAATTTATTTTCTCACTATTTTTCGTAAACAAGTTTTTCTTTCTTTAAGTATTCATGAACATCAGTAGTATAATAGTAGTATTTATCTTTCGTCCACTTCGACATTTTTTAAAAAAAAAGTTTAAACAAGTGAACTCCATACGTGACACTTCGCCATACTAATGCATAAAGCCAAACCACAAGATATAAATTTTTTCTAACCGTTTACTTGCACTTTTTAAGTTTTAACTTCCAAATTATTACTAAATTAATTGATTACGTGAATTAAGTAGTTTAAAATAAACTTAAAATTTAGTTAATTACTTCACTATGTACTTCATTCGTGTACATCATGCTTTAAGGGAAGGAACTTATTCACTATCTAGTACGCTAGGAGCAAAAAGAATAAAAAGAAATAAATAATATGATCTATAAAATTTCTTTTATTTCAGGATCAATAATCCAATAGACGAAGCGGCCCGCAAACCTTTAAAAATAATCACAATGAAGGATAGTGTCTATCAGTTGCAAAAACAGAAGATTAACAGAGAATTTCCATGGGAGGTACTTAATTTTTTGTGCTTGACTTTTATATTATATTTTATAATGTTTATAAGTTATTTGAAAGCATTAAATATTCATTCATTATTTTATTAGCCATTAACAGAATAGGGTATTTTACACCCTGTAAAATAAAATCAAAAAATATATATTTATGATAGATTTTATAAAAAATAAACGAGAAATATTGATTACTTTTATAAAATTGCATTATAAATTTTATATTTCAATTTTAAGAATATTTTTTTCGTCTGTGCCTCAAATCTGGAAAATGCTGTCCGCCATATTAGATCATGGCGTGACGTCACTGATGAACCTAAGGGTATTAGTGTTCTGTGTCACTGATTAAGAGAACTAGCTAACGTGTAATGTTATTTCGAAATTTTAAGTTATCATTACGATTATTGAGTTTTAGTCCGAATTTTATTGAAAAGCCATCATGGAAGACGAATTCGTAAAAGCATTAAGTACTAATCTACCAAGGATAAATAAAATGAGATTGGAAAAATTTTTTGTATGCAATCCCAATTTTAGTTCTGCTGAGTTGAGAAATGTTAAAACATCAATTTAAGTACCTATTACCAACTTTTGTTTATGCAAAAACACAATAGCAGGTCAGAGTGTATTTTGATAAAACATAGTTTAGTGGCTATCATAGTTTAGTTTACCTATAATTACAATCATTAGCAATCGTTAGTTATAACATCTAAGTTAACGTAATTTATTACAAAATTTGACTTTCGATACCCTTTACCGCATGATGTTTTGTTTTGTATTAAACGATAGTTAAATATAAGTTATACTTACATCAAAATGATCGTCACAGAAGAATAGTCCGGTTTTTATTGTAGGCAATGTATTCGGATATCTTTTTGCCAGTTTTAACCAAGTATTTCTTGTATTTAAATACTTGGCATTTGAATCCATAACTTTTCTGGCGTTTTTATGCTCGTATTTTTGCATTCAGGCACAACACAACTATAAATGATATTTCATTATTAGACATTAGAAAGTATCTTATTCCTTTGCAAAATCGGCAAAATCGAGGACAGTGACATCACGAGTTGAATAGCATGGCGGCTAGCGTTTCCACGCGAAAATTTAGAACGATAGATTAAAATCAATTTTTATGGCACTATTCGGTTTAAAAAAAATAATTATAGTGGTTCATTATCACTCTAGGATTCATATAAAACAACTTTTGGAAATGGTTGTAATACTCTATTGTTTCACTTATACATGCATACATACATAAACATTCACGCCTGTCACCCAGAGGGGTAGGCAGAGACTACAGACTTCCATTTGGCACGATCCTGACGCATCTCTCGCCTCCTCCACATTTATATACCTAAGCATACATGCTCGTCGGTTAAGGGTACTCCTAATTTGGCCCATTTTAAATATATCGCCAATTTGGTCAATAAACTTTCGCCTAGGACGTCCTTTTCCGACTCTGTCATTCGTCTTATATTATATTTTATTGTATTTACTATAGAACGGATTTAGCCTTAAGCCGGTTTTAGAACTCGACCGGCCGTCGGTGCGTACCATCGAGCGAGGCGTTCCGTGACGACATATGCCATGTTTAATAAAAATTACTTTAAATCACTAACACTACTTAATACCTATAAAATCATACAATATTATTAAAGTTTGGGTTCGATTGTCTTGACGATGATACACGCATCCGTACGGTCGGTGTAGCACTGAACGCGCCAATATGTTTCCATAGCGCGTTGATCGACCGACGGTACGCATGCGGACGCGCTTGACCAACGGTCCTCGTACGCAGTGCGTAGCAATATACGTGTGCGTACGGTCGGTCGAGCACTGTAACGACTTGTGAATTTTCATACAGGCAAGCGTGACCGACGTTCTCTAAAACCGATGACCGGTTTTAGAGCTCGACCGACGAGTAGTGGCCTTACAGTAGCATCTCCTCACCTTTTCAATATATGAATACGTAAAGAGAAAACTTTGTACCCATATTTCCCGCACGGAATGTGAGATTTGGCATAGTTAAAGTTTATATGAAAAAAAAAGAGTACCAAAAGCTAAAATTTATATAATGTGTACTCACAAACAAATTCAATATATAAAACGTTCATACTGCCATGTTAATTGTTAAGTTGAATTGAATGGTTTTCGATTATCGACCACTGGACGACCACTAATATTAAGTAATATCTGACTGATTATGCCATATTGTTGTCTTGTCGTTAAAGTTCACATCTTCACGACTTCCGAATGTCGTAAAACACTCTTAAGATAAACATTTTGAGTTTACTTATCGTGTGTTTTAATATATATCTATATATATATATATATATATATATATATATATATATATATATATATATATATAAATATTATATAAATAAAAAGTCTGGGTAAAATAGCAGGTAAGGGTGTGGGAAGCAGAGAAATAGTTCTGATGATTATGCCTAGTGGTCGTTATAATGAGGGAATTTTGAGTGCCAGTTTCTCCACAGTAATTTGCAATGCTTGACAATAACGAATAAAGTAACTGTGGCGCACATATGGCAAAAAAGGATGGTGAAGAACACTAAACTCACACCACAAGCTTCTTCTGGCTAATCTTTCATTTCGGGCACTGTTTCGCTTTCAGCTTCCACCATCACCTTCAGTTCGTCATTATCATTCATGGCGGGCGGCCACGAGATTCATTTATGAGATCAAATTTTTCCGAACAAAACCGTTGAACAAACAACGCACAGTTCGTGCGTTTATAGTGCTAGGTTGTATTCTGATACAGTCCGTTCTGAATGAATACGACCTAGCGCTATAAATGCAAGAACTGTTTTGCTGCTGCTCATCATCATTTATTGCGCAATCGGAATCAAAATTTCAGTACATTTTTATTCTTAACTATACCAATCAGATATAGTGTTTTTAATATTAAAAATGTTACGTTACCAAAGCTAACGATATTTGTCATAATTTATCAGGAAGACAAGGAGCCGATCGATATCGAGCGCAACCTGTCAACGGTGACCGTTATGGACATAGAATGCTATGACGAGTTCATCACAGGACCTATGTACTCTAACCCTGACAAAGCAATAGTTCTGTCACCACCTAGGACCGTGCCAACTTCAGGCGCCCTTCTCCCGCCACCGATCAAGTAAGTATTTTAATCTGTAATAGTGTCTGCAGAATTTTTTTAATCTTAAAATATAGTATCTGGATCACCGAGCTTTGCTCGGTTTTTTCTTTTGAAATAACATTTAGATACAAATTACATAATGATGACATATGAATAATATTTTTGATCTTATTGACATAATAGGAAAAACTGAACTGGTTATTTGAATAAAAAATTATGTGAGTGTAACTAGTTTAATTAACATTTTGGTATTTTTAAAAATACTAAAAAAGGGCTCGAAATAATAGATTTTCTCACAAAAGAAGGGAACTTGAAAAAAAAAAAGGAAAAAAGTCGGACCGAAGACAGGACGCGAACCAAGGCATTACGATTTCACGACCGCTCGATATCCACTTGAGCTATTACGATCATTAGCACAGTGTCAAAATTTACCTTCTTATATTGTATCAGTTTTTCATTCCCTGAAAACATGGACAAAAAGACATTTTCTAAAATAAATCCTAGCTAGATAATAGCCGTTTCCGAGATTCCGATTTTTATATATATATATATATATATATATATATATATATATATATATTTGCTCGTTTAAAGGTATAGTATTTAACAAATAAGTAATGAAACTTTTAAACAAGATAACAAATCTATATAATCATCGAAATCGGTTAACGTGGAAAAGGACTATTCGCCTTAACCTATAATATACAAGTAAAAACGGCATAATATTTCGTAATAATTATTATAAGTTCCTTTGGTCCAATTTAATCAACTTCTTTGTAAAATTTCTAGCTGTCCGTGTGTGCATGATTAATGAACTTAAATTGTAAAAGCATTATTTCACCTTTATAATATTGGGTATATAATAACATAATAAACGAACACAACAGTTTAGTACAATGTCTCCTCATTATATTATTTGGATTATTACTATGAGATCTATTTACTATCTACTGTCATGAACTTGTACAACATTGTAAAATATTGAACATCTTGTTGCCTTCTGCCTCAATGCTTAACATGTGTGTTGGCAATCCAGGTACACCCCCACACCCACTCCCCGTATCGTAGTGTTTTTGTTGTGTTAGTGCTCCAAGTACGTCTGCTATCACAGATACCCTCACTCGGCCTCAATTGTCCGGGAAAAGGTTAAAACACAGTGCATGATTACTACAAGTCTCAAAGTCGAAAACAAACAATTTTTGATTTTGCATAATTGTTGGCTTCACTTGGATAAGAACTCTGGATCTGCTGAGTAGTTGATATATATATATATATAATGATAGTAGATATATGTATCTAAATTACTCTGAACTTTAGACCAAGTGGTCGGTCACTGGCAAGTAACTTGAGAGGAACTCAACAATATAGAAACCGTTGTTGTTTTACAGATATAAAGAAAAGATTGAACTTCTTAAAAAGCAGCCCATTGGCCGTGGTCCGGAATTAAGGGAAATCCTGACCGCCCTCACTACAATCAATTCGCACGATACCTTTAATTTGGAACGGGTGGAGACCTTAGGTGATTCGTTCCTTAAGTTTGCCGCAAGCTTATATCTCTACCACAAGTTCCCTAAGTTGAATGAAGGCCAGCTTACGAATATTAAATCCCGCCTTATTGGAAACAGGTAAGTGTTGTGATGTTCGCTTGAACGTATTCCATAACCTGTTACAACCTGTACATACTGTTTTAAATTAACCAGTGCCCAATGTGATAGCAGAAAAGTTATTTTGTGTTCTTTATAAGAAATAAATGTCCTGAACGGTAAACTAGCTTCACTGGAGTATAATTGAGTATGCTGACGTGGTAGGGCCATGCTGCAGCTATTTTACTGGTATAGTTATAGCACGAATTTGTCGGCTCCACCGGGGAAGGACCACGCTTTCACATTACCAGCGTAAAATAACAGCTGCTGTATTTTGTACGGTGAGTGAAAAGAAACGGAGACCCTTTTTATTGGAAACAAGGCGGTCCATCTTAGTCCCCACGGGTGAAAACACTATTGCATTTTGATTCTTAATCGAATATTAATGGAGAAGCCCACAGACATACCTACTGAATTTTTTTCGTTACTGTTAAAAGCGGTAGTTTTTAAAACAAACTTCAAGCATTAGATGAAATTAAATACATTGGTAAATTTTTTGCGATAAAAGAAATTAAACATTTATTAAACTTTTTTTCTTAATTTTCTACATATAAATGTAATTTTATCAAAAGTTAGAGTAATAGGCATAACTGGTAACAGAATATTCAGATTAATTATTATTTTAAAGAAGACACTTAATAAGGTTACTACGCGATACAAAGAGAGGTAACTTCTAGGTCAGGGATTCCCAAAGTGGTCGATATCGACCCCTTGGGGTCGAAATCAGTTTCCTGGGGGTCGAAATAAACGAAAACTGATTTTGGGGATCGACGAGGTCTAAAAATCGATCCCTATTAATTAACACAAGTTTTTATTTGAAACTCAAGATACTGTATAAGTTGTGTTGTTTTGTCAATTATTAGTTACACTTGATATTCATTGAATTATATCTCTTTATTTTATTAAATTTTCGTAAGAAAATTATGTCAATTTTACTTATTTAACCATCCGCAAAGTTTTTAAATTCGTAAGTATTTTGTAGCAATAGGAAAAAAATTAGAAATAGAATTTTTAAAGTAATTTGGCTATGGAGGTCTGAGATATGAGGTCATTTTAGAAAAGGGATCTCTTGCCCATAATAGTTCAGGATTCCCTGTGCTAGAGATGAATATAACGGTAGGTAATAAGTACTGTGCGATCTGAATTACACAATGATTTTGCGGAATGAATTTTCCGTAAAAAGTAAAACGTGAAGTTACAGCTTATATACGTCCCACTGCTGGGCACAGGCCTCCTCTCATTTCTGAGAGGGTTTTAGTGCAAGAAAGTATCCGCCGTGCTGCTATAATGCGTGTTGGCGAACTTCACATGTCTTCGAAAATATTTTTTTTTCTTATTTCTCAGACATGCAGGGTTCCTCACGATGTTTTACTTCACCGCCGAGCACGTGGTAAATCAGCACTTAAAATTTCAATTAACAATTTTATTGGTGCCGGCGGGAATCGAACTCGGCTTGCTCGTGTATTCTGAAATTTACAGCGAGCGCTAACCATCTGAGCTACGACGGTCCTATTTTTTTTTGAGAATTGAATAGAGAATTTTCCGTGCTCTGATTTATTCTCTGCTAATAATTAAAGGTGCGGATTACAAACTCTTTAAAACTCTTTGGGTCCAATCTACTATTCGACTTCCAACTTTCATTTGTTACCAGGAATCTTTACTATGCTGGTGAAAAAGCGCGATTGGCCGGTCGCATGAAGGTTGAGCAGTTCAGTCCAAAAACTGATTTCGTCGTACCAGGTTTCTTTGCGCCACAAGCAGTGAAGAATTTTATTGAAAATGCTCAGGTGAGTGCAATATTATTCGAATTATTATTATTAAATATTTATTGTCATATAAAGGTCGTAAAAGGCCTCAGATGGGAACATACCAGAACTTTAGTAACCAACTGACATGGAAAGAACACTTGAAAAAAATAAAACAAAAACTGATATCCCTAACCGGAGCACTACGCGCAATAGTTCGCTGCCTTCCACAAAAAGTCCGTTACACTGTCTATAGCTCCCTAGCTAAGCCACACATCGATTATCTGATAGAAATCTGGGGATCAGCTGCCAAAACTAATCTCAATTCTGTTCAAATCGCGCAAAACAATTTGATCAAAATTCTTTTCTGTTATGATTCTCTGACATCTACAACCAAAATATATAAAGATACTAAAATACTTAATATAGAACAATCATACAAATACTTTTCCTGCGTACTAATACGAAATTTTTTAAATAAAAACATACATACTAACTTAACTTTTACATAAAAGAAAAATGTGCAAACTAAAATGTTGAGAAGTGCTAATAAATTAATTCTGCGACGGCCAAGAACCAACTACGGAAAAAAGAACATCACTTATCAAAGTAAAAGTATGCTAACATTTAAAAAACTGTTAAAAAAATAGCCTACAAAATCACAAACTATAATAACACCCTAACTACTTCTAAACAAAAAAAAACTATCAAACAAATAAATATATAATAAACGAATAAATATTAAAAACCATCACTATGGTTACTAAATATCATTAAACATTCATATTAATAATTATAGTCAACCAAATCTAAGAAATACATTTTGACAGCTGTCAGACTTATTGCACCAAGCATGCCAACCAAAAAATGGGAACGTACAATATTCGATTCTTAAAAAAATCAATATCGATTACTTAGAGTTGGTAGTCGTTTACAGTTTGGTTTGAATAATACCAGAATAAATTAAAAACGGATAATTTATAACACAAGATTTATCAGTTTCTTCGTATTGTTTACAGCTTATTTCTAGAGGCACAGTTATAAAAATTTAAGATTGAAACTAGATTAAAAATAAATTTATTCAATCACTTTCAGTACAACTAGTAGGGATGTCGTTGTTTATATTAATTATTATTTGATTTTCAATAATGCAGTCAAAATTAATGTCTCTTTCAAAGTCATCCATAATAATTTTTTTGTTTTTTCTACTACTTTTGCCCAATCATCTTTTGTGACATGGACACACGCTTCAACGAATTTTTTTATAGCATTGGGTGACAAACGAGCACACAGTCCACCTGATGGTAAGTGGATGCTATGGCCCGTAGACATACACATTTATCCTCAATTAAGAATCAAAATGCAAATGCGTTGTCACCCCTGAGGACTAAGATGGAATGCCTCGATGCCAGTAAAAAGGGTCTCCGGTTCTCTACACTCACCATATGAAACACATCAGCATTACGCTGCTATTTTACGCCGGTATTCTGTGAGAGTATGGTTCTGCCCCGGTTGAGCCGACCCATTTGTGCTACAACTATAATATAGATGTAGCGTGGCTTCACCACATACAAAAAGTTATTATAGAAGAAACAGTCCAAGAAGTTAAAGCCGAGTCACAAAATAAGAAGACAAACACAAAATTACGCACAGTGAGTTCTCCAAATAGAAACAGAAACTTTTTTATTCAATATAGATTATGAATAATACTTAAGTCTCTTATTTCATTTACCACTGGTTCGCAAAAAAAACCTCTGTCCTGAGAAGAACCAGCAAGAAACCCGACGAGACTAGTTAAAAAAAAATAAGAGCTTACAATCATGCGTGTTACAATGCGTGATACAAACCAACACAAAACAAATTAGAAATAGCTTGGTAGCGATCACCCTTCCCAGGGGTTATTATCATTCATACTTTCCTCAATATTAAAATAACCCTTTTTATACAAACTTAGTTTAATAAAGTTTTTGGACTTTGTGTTCTTAAGTCAAATTTTGTATATTTTCTGTCATTTTGTTATAAAAGCGTATACATCGCCTCTAAAATGAATTACTGATTCTGTGGAGTCGAGTAACTGGTACCGAAATGACGGGATATTGAAATTATGTAGTGGTTATTTTAGCACGGCCTTGTATGTGAGTTTTTTTCCTACAAACATTTACTTTGACAAAGTGAAAAAAATAAACTTGTTTTATTCATAGTTCATGTAATTTGAGAAATTTTGAAAATAAAAATTAAATTAAGCAAATAATACATTAAAGAAATTAATGATTCGATTATTAGAATATTTTTACCTATAATTTGAATATTTTTCCGATTATTCGCATAACAACGAATTTTAATCATCCATACATTACGGTAATATACATAGCGACATGTCATTGAAACGACGTCAAGAAAAAAAAGTTACTACTGGTTATTTTTTAATATTTTGCTTTGTTTGAAAGATTCAAATTTAAATAAGTGATAAAAAACTATACACGTTGTAATGAAATATAGATAACTTCATAATTCTTCGAATTTACGTAAAAGGTTATTTTAATCGTGTGATTACGCTTGTGCAAAGTTATTGCGGAATGATTAATTTGAAACGTCAAAAGGTATTTCTTAGATTTGGTTGACTATAATATAATATAACAATATTACAATAATTCTCGTTATGATGGCTAGTCAATTCTAGCAAAGCATCTTTAAATCCACGCATCTGTGTTCGCTTGCACCGTTTGTTTTTGTTTGCACGGGCGATCTTCAATCCTGTTATGATGGTAAAAGTTCTACCCGCACTATTTATATAATTTTGTAACATAAAATATTTGTGTACTTTGCCTGGCACGCTCGGTGACCACTTACTGCCTAACACTCATTATGTATTTCGTTTTTAATGTATTTCTCATTTAAGTGAATTTTTGTAAATTCTTATGAGAATAAAATGTCTCTGATCCCAAGTGACCAGCAGTGTCGTCCTATTAATAACTAGCAAATAAAAAATGGCGGTTGCCAATCCGCCTGCCGAGTGTGGCAACAATAGCAAATATCCGCCTAAAGAGGCCCATGATTAGCAGTGGACGTCGATTGGCTTTATTGATAATATGCTTTAATAGACACTGCGAGACAAGTTATTAAATTTTTCTAAATGTTAAATTATATGATAGGAGTGTGTGTAGTAGGATTACTTCACAATGCGGAATTGAAGAAATACTATCCAATGATTACGTCATAGAGATGACAGTGGAGACTACTAGTACTGAAAATACTAACTTATTATATAAATAATATAGATAAATAGGGAAGAAAAATTAATAAAAAAAAATCTTAAATATTCTGTCCTTTTATCTTTTAATTTCAAAATGCGTGGTATTGCATTATTAGAACTGATTTTACTGCGCACGCACACATTCGTAAGGGTCGATCGGAGGGCAAGAACGTTATTGCTCACATTCAATTTGGGATAATTTCAAATAAAATTAGGAGCCTTATTTACTCGTGTTTTCAAAAACTGAAATAACGGTATACAATTATTTATATATTGAAACTTAAGTTTAATATTTGGCTATTCTATGAAAAATAACCCTGTGTTTAAGAGAATTGCAAAAACAAAACATTATAAAAAAAGTAAGTGCTTATTGCGTCGGAGTCATAAAACAGTGGTAGAGCCACGCGGCAGCTTTGCTGTTGCACGTATGGGCCGGCTCAAACCGGGGTGGTACCACGACCTCACAGAATACCGGCGTGAAGTGGAAGCTCTGCTTTCGCGTTTCGTTTGGTGAGTGCAGGTGGCCGGAGGCCCAAATCCCCCCCCCCCCCCCCATCAACATGGTAGCGTAATTAAATGATAGACTACCCCAGGAGGGTACCAGCACTCCTGGGGAATCCCTCGCTGAGCATCCACGACCATGTTTCTCCACTTCTGAGCGTGGGTACTCAGGCTGCCCCGCGTATTCTGGGGAGGGGGGGGCAAAATTCCGCTCAAGACTACAACTGCTCGGGGCAAACGGAGCAAAAAGACCAAGGCGACCCCTGCCACGCTGTCCGTGAATTTCTGCAATATCAGGGGACTTCACTCTAACCTAAACGCCGTCCACTACCATCTCGAGACGGCGAGGCCGGCTCTGCTCTTTCTGACCGAGACGCAGGTGTCCTCTCCGGCTGATGTCTCGTATCTCTCCTACCCGGGGTACAAACTGGAACAATCCTTTGTGCCTCGGGCTGGAGTTTGCGTTTACGTCAGAGAGGACATCTGTTCTCGACGCCTCGGCAGACTTGAAGGTTCGGACCTGTCCATCCTTTGGCTACGCGTAGACAGCGACGACCATCCGCGCGTCTACGGGTGCCTTTATAGGTCCCATAGCGGTAATGCCGAAACAGACCGACTCTTCGACCACGCCAAATGGCTGCAGATTCGTTGCTACAGCAGATCCCCTCCGCAGAGATCGTGATCCTCGGCGACTTTAACGCCCATCACGCCGAATGGCTTGGTTCACGTTTAACCAATCATGCGGGGAGATCTGTTCATGATTTTGCCTTGGCATATGGTCTGACACAACTGGTTACTTCGCCTACGCGGATTCCAGATGTGGAGGATCATGCACCTTCCCTTCCCTGTTTCTGGACCTTCTGCTGACCTCTCACCCGGACGGATATCAGATTTCCGTCGACGCCCCTTTAGGCTCCTCGGACCATTGTCTTGTCCGGAGTGTGGTGCCACTCACGCTGAAATCGCGGTTGCATTATGCAGGCTGCCGCCGTGTTTGGCACTATAGGTCAGCCGATTGGGATGGGATGCGGTCTTTCTTTGCATTCTACCCTTGGGGGCGGGTTTGCTTCTCGCCGGACGATCCCAACGTTGTTGCGGATTCTGTCGCTGATGTGGTACTTCAGGGTATGGAACTTTTTATTCCTTCCTCTGTGGTGCCCATTGGAGGCAAATCTCAGCCATGGTTTGGTCGCTCCTGTAAAATAGCATCATGCTATAAGCAGGAGTGCTACCAAGCCTGGGCTGACGCATCAGCGTCCTGGGATGTAAACACCAGCGCTCTAAAAAAGAAGTATAATTCCGCCTCTAGGTCCTTCAAAAGAGTCATTGCCAAGGCAAAGTCAGAGCACATAGGCAGAATTGGCAAGAAACTAGTTCGCCTTCCTTCTGGAACCCGTGCATTCTGGTCTCTCGCCAAGGCTGTCCAGGGGAATTTCTGTCAGCCATCTCTTCCATCTCTGCACAGGGAGGACGACTCACTGGCCCATACCGCAAAGGAGAAAGCCGATTTTCTAGGCTCTATCTTTGCGTCTAACTCCACTCTCGATGACGGGGGAAGTACGCCACCGACCATCCCGTGGTGTGAGTGCTCCATGCCGGAAGTGCAGTTCACACAGCGCTCGGTTCGCAAAGCACTCCTCTCCCTGGACATCCACAAGTCGAGTGGGCCTGACGGAATCCCCCCAATTGTGCTGAGTACGTATGCTCCAGAGTTGGCACCGGTTTTAACGCGTCTTTTCCGGTACTCCTACTCCCTAGGCATAGTCCCAAAATCGTGGAAGACGGGTTTCAGCCACCCGATCCCTAAAAAAGGCGACCGCTCAGACCCGTCCAACTACCGGCCTATCGCCATCACCTCCTTGTTCTCCAAAACAATAGAGTCCATTGTAAACTGCCAGCTCGTGAGGTACCTTGAGGATCACCAGCTGATTAGTGACCGCCAATACGGTTTTCGCCGTGGTCGGTCAGCTGGTGATCTTCTGGTCTACCTAACTCACAGATGGGCGGAGGCAGTAGAGTCCAAGGTGGAGGAGGCATTGGCCGTTAGTTTGGACATTGCGAAGGCCTTCGATCGGGTTTGGCACAAAGCGCTTCTTTCGAAGCTCCCTTCCTATGGGTTTCCCGAGAAATTGTGCGATTGGATCACCAGCTTTCTTACAGATCGGAACATCAAGGTCGTTGTAGACGGTGCAAGCTGCGATTGCAAGCCTATTAATGCTGGTGTTCCACAGGGCTGCGTGCTATTGCCAACGCTGTTTCTTCTGCATATCAATGATATGTTGCAAACCCGTAACATTCATTGCTATGCAGATGACAGCACTGGTGATGCTCTTTACACCGGTCGAGCCAATATTTCTCGGGAAAACGCCTCCGAGTACCGGAACAAACTTGTGTCTGAAGTCGAGTCTTTGCTGAACAGAGTCTCGGATTGGGGGCGACTAAATCTAGTCCAGTTTAACCCCCAGAAGACACAAGTTTGCGCGTTAACCGCTAAAAAAACCCCTTTGTCCTATCCCCTCAGTTTTAATGCACTCCCCTTGTTGCCTCAGCCAGTATCGGAATCCTCGGCGTCGACATATCGAGTGACGTGCAGTTTCGTGGTCACTTGGAAGGGAAGGCCAAATTGGCCTCTAAAAAGCTTGGCGTGCTCAGCAGAGCGATACAGTATTTCATGCCGGCACACCGCCTGCAACTTTACAAGACGCAGGTTCAGCCGCACATGGAATACTGTTCCCATCTCTGGGCTGGGGCTCCCCAGTACCAGCTCCTTCCGCTTGACCGCATCCAGCGCAGAGCGGCTCGAATCGTCGACGACCGAGTGCTTTCCGATCGGCTCGATTCACTGGCACTGCGAAGAGATGTTGCATCCCTTTGCATTTTCTTTCGCATATACCATGGAGAGTGCTCTGAGGAATTGTTCGGATTAATCTCAGCCGCCAAATTTCGTGAACGCACTACGCGGCAAACGTCCCGATACCATCCACACCATCTGGATGCTTGGCGGTCCACCACTGTACGTTTCAAAAGGAGTTTTCTTCCGCGTACAACCTCTCTGAAGGAATAGTTTACCACCGGCGATTTTTCCGGACCGATACGACCTGGGGACCTTCAAGAAAAGAGCTTACTCCTTTCTAAAGGGCCGGCAACGCACCTGCAATTCCCCTTGGTGTTGCGGTTGATCATGGGCGGCGGTGGTCACTTAACATCGGGTGAGCCGCATACTCGTTTGCCCCCTCTTCTAAAAAAAAAAAGATTCGCCGTAGGGGCCGGAAAGACATTCTTCCGAGTGCTAATTTATTCTGAGTCCTTGACTTCGTCATAACGAACTCAAGTGTCGTATCGGTCCATTATATATGTGGAGAATGGAGATAAATAAAGGCCGTCTGGGAAGGCTCGTTTTCGATTATTGAGGAGCGGTAGGCCATCGCCGTCTGTCGAGAGGAAACGCCAAAAAGTTTCATGTCCTGTTATAAATTGAGCTATCACATGGCAAATCTTCATTACAGAATAGTCCTATAGGTTGTGGACAGTTAATGCTGGTGAAATAGACAAAAGGAAAGGTTTTCTTAATAAAAATATAATTTAAATTGTAGTTTATTTTTACAATTTAACTTACTCAATATATAGATACTTACTCAAAATTAAGAAATAGAACAGAACACAGACACTTATTTTGTATACATGTTTAAATATGAAATGTCTAGTTAATGTTCAAGTTGTTACTTATAAATTAAAGCTAGTCTATGTACATCCTTAATCTGTAGAAAAATAGTTTAACGTTAAACAACTAATGAACTTTAAAGAGATCTGTTCAAGCTATAGCAGTACTTAAGTAGATATTATATTTTGCTTACCGATACTTAATAGACGTGATCGCAAACTTCGCCACACCTAAATGCATATTTATTTTTCTACAAAAGCGATTGTCCGTCCCTTTTATAAAAATCTATAAAATTTATTTTCTATTATCTAAATACATCATAACGAAAATTCAACTGTTGACTGGAATGTTAGCCGACTTTTTACTTGATTCGATTATTAAACAACTTTTTTTTATTTACGCCGGCACGATCTTCTGAAGTGTAAAATAATTAAAAAATAGAAAACGCAATTAAATAGAATACTTCTAAGGTCTTCTAGTTGTTGTACTTATTCGATACTTTTATTTCTTTGGTGGAATGTAATAAATTTTGAAACGGAAACGAAAATGTCATCAACTAATTCATGAGGAGTATGCAAAGCGGCAAAATGGCCACCGAAGTCCACTGTAGTTGAATGGATTAAGTTGTGGAATTTATCTCGGAGTACCCAATCCGGCTGGTATAGAACTTCATGTAAGAAGTTGATAGCAGCCGTAGGCACTTTAGTTGGAATACTGAAAACAAAGATGTTCATTTTAATTATAGGCAAAAAATGGCAATTGATAGAATCAGGCGTTACTTTGCGGAAATCCATTATAATAAAGAAAATTAATCCGCAACCTTCCGCTAACTAAATACAATGATGTGTCTTACCTGGATTGAAGAGCACCTCCCACCCTCCCTCAATTCAACTCAATTGCATGCACTAATCCTGTCACCACTAATCCCAGCACCACTACTCCCGGCACCACTACTCCCAACACCACTACTCCAGGAAAGTGAGCTACTTACGGCGGCTGACCGCTAAGTGAGCTACTTATCGGTCAGCCGCTGTAGAGTCTACATCACCTGAGGATGCCTCGTGTAGAGGCGAAACACGTGTCGTATTATCGTCGATGGTGTGTCTTTCCTGGAGTAGGGAGTAGTGGTGCCAAGAGTAGTGGTGTTGGGAGTAGTGGTGCTGGGATTAGTGGTGACAGGATTGGTGCATGCAATTGAGGGAGGGCGGGAGGTGCTTTTCAATCCAGGTAAGACACATCATTGTATTTAGTTAGCGGAAGGTTGAGGATTAATTAATTTCTTTACAATAAATGGCAATTCATGAAAATAGATGTTCCTTGTTTAACAAGGAACATCGTGACTTGAAAAATGGTTATCCATGTGGTATTTTCAATATGTATTATGTGATTTTACGTGGTACAGTCACGCCGCGCTGTAGTTATATTATTAAAGTTGTAACACGAATGGATCGGCTCGACCGTGGAAGGACCACGCTCCCACAGAATAACAACAAAAAATAGTAGATTAATGCTGCTGTGTTTCGTATGGTGAGTGTAGAGAACGAGAGACCCTTTTTACTGGAAATGAAGTATTCCATCTTAGTCCTCAGGGGTGACAACGCATCTTGGTTTTGATACTTAATCGGGGATAAATGTAGATTTCTATGGACCCCAGCATCCACTTACCACCAGGTGGACTGTGTGCTCGATTGTCACCCTTACTCCATTGAAAAAATCATCTATATTGAATAAAAAAAATTCTATTCTCAAAAAATATATATAATCAAAAATTTAGACTAAGAATTAAATATTTTTATCGGATGTGCATGAACATAACAACTCGTAAACAAAATTTAAAAATCACCTATAAAAGTGTTTGAAACACAATACCTACTATACTTTGAATGATAATTTTGATGACAAAGAGGCTGGTAATAACATTAATCTTTTTATATAATTAGGTTAATACCTAAATATTAAATTTCGTGTGACACTTCATACATATTATTTACTAGTTAGTACTTTAAGAACTTGTAAAATGGTCGCATAGAAAATCACAAGTATGCTAAATGTGTATTAATTATTATTTATTGTATAAAGTTACTTCTTAGTGTATGGTAGACTTGGGTATGTCAAGTTCGCTACTTGCCCCCATATAATTGCCAAAAAATGTCCAATTTAGTGTTAAACTGCCTAATTATTATGTTACATTTTCAATTTGTGAAACCCGACCAGTTTGTGAAAAAATCGCTAATTTGTAGTCTTCGATCAACAATACCAACGATCGAAGATTATAGTTGAGTCTGGGTGTATTAAGATGGGAACAAACATCTTTGATGGGAACATTGTTAGAGAAACATATTCTATAACACTGTTTCCCAATTACCTTGGCTAGAGTACAAGAGAGTACCTTAACATTTACACGTTCAATGGCATTGTCTTATTGTAGTTTCAATTATTTATTTAATTTTAGTTGGTAGTGCCATACTGCGGTTATATAATTGTTGTAGTACGAATGAGCCGGCTCGACCGGGGAAAAGAACCACGCTTTTACAGAATACCAGCGTGAAATAGCAGCTGAATACTGCTGTGTTTCGTATGGTGAGTGTAGGTAACCGGAGACTCTTGTTACTGCATACAAAGCATTCCATCCTAGTCCTCAGTGGTGATAAACGCACCTGCATCTTGATTCGTAATTAAGGACAGATGTAGGTGGCTATGTGCCACAGCATCCACACTTACCATCAGGTGGACTGTGTGCTCGTTTGTAACACTTATTCTATAAAAAATATCAAAACTTGGCGCTATCATTCAGAAAAAAGTCAATGATAGCTGTCAAACTATGAATACTCACTTGTGAACTATCTTAACTTCTCTTCCCGTGAAACCCTCGGCGTAGATTCTCATCGACGTGACGATGCAGTTGTTCGCCCATATTATAGTAACTGTGTCCAACACATCGTCCAATTCCAAATTCTCAATACCCCCGTGGATGGTATTAGTTTGGTCTTTATTGCTGACTACTCCTATTTTTTCCATAACATAAGCCGCCATACCTACTGGAGAGTCTGTTAATGCCACGCCTACAAAGAAGCATTGTACTAAATATAAAACTTTATCCCTATTTATGAAAAAAAAAATCGCTGTCCATTTGTCTCGCTAAAACTCAAGAACTGCGCGGCCAATTTTGATGAAATTTTTTGTGTGTTTGAATGGATTCCTAGATGGTTTAGATTCACAACCCGGTAGGCGGCGTTATCGGGATCCACATATCACCCGTGCGAAGCCGGAGCTAATCTCTAGTTCATTATATAATATGGTGTGTGCAGAGCTGTAGTAGCTCAGAGGCCAAGTGCTGGCTGTAAATTACACAGTACGTGAGCAACTCTGTATCAACCCGGATCCGCACCAGTACTAGTGAAATTGTCAATTTCAATTTTAATTGATGCATTTACAACATGCTCGATGGTGAAGAAAACCTGCATGTCTGAGAAATTAAAAATATAGCTTGAAGACATGTGCCAAAACGAATTGGGGCAGCGCGGTGGACACTTCCTTTCTTTATAACCCTCGCAGAAATTAGAGGAGACCTGCACCAAGAAGTGGGGCACATATTGGTTGTAACTTTTGTTTTAACGAAAACCGGAACCGTGTGGGACCATGCTCTCACAGAATACCAACATAAATAGTACCTAGCACCGGTTCCGGTTCTCTACACTCACCACATAAAACACAGGCTGCTGTGTTTTATGTGGTGAGTGTAGAGAACCGGATACCCTTTTTACTGGAAACGAGGCATTAAATCTTAGTTCTCAGGGGTGAGGATGCATCTGCATTCTTAATCGAGGATCACTGCATCTACTTACCACCAGGTGGACTGTGTGCCCGTTTGTCACCCCTTTTTTATGAATAAAATGCACAAATGGGTTGGCTTGACAGGGGAAGAACTACGCTCCCACTTTATACAAATGTGCAGTAACAGGTTCTGATGTATTTGAGGCAAAGTAAACGCATCTGAATATTGTTCCTTAATCATATTTATGTATTGGAGTTGTTGCTTAAATAAAATAAGTCGCTTTTTGTTAAAATATTTATAATCAGGGTGACATTATATCCCCAAAACTCTTCACCACTGCATTGGAAGACGTTTTCAAGCTACTGAACTGGAAAGAATACGGTATTAACATCAATAGCGAGAACATCACTAACCTTCGATTTGCCGACGATATAGTCCTTATGGCAGAATTGCTGGAGGATCTAAGCGCAATACCGACGATATAGTCCTTATGGCAGAATTGCTGGAGGACCTAAGCACTATGCTCAATGATTTCAATAGTGTCTCTCAACGGATAGGTCTTAAGATGAACATGGACAAAACCTAGTTCATGTAATTGGTAATGTCCATGTCAAACCTTTGTATTATTTATAATATTTTTACAAAAAGCGACTGATTTTATTTAAGCAACAACTCCAATGCATTGATCCTTGATTAAAATTAATAAATAATTAAAATTTTAAATTTAAATTAACACATACATAAGTCAGTTTGTACAAGAATTATCAGTAAAGCTATTCGTTTGATAGATATTTTTATAAAATATCATATAGTATAAGTATGTTGTGTGGTGGCAGCGTAAGAGAATTCATCGTCCCATTTCGTAAAATACCCGATCGCGCCACACGTAATATATCCAGACCGGAGTCGGGCAGTAGCGTCAAAGGTGCGAAAGCGTTAAGGCAAATCCTCCCTACACTTAAGTCTGTTTTACACGTAAAGTAATTACCTAACTAAATTTTATAAGGTCGGGGAAAAAGCTTCTTCGTATTTTAAATACAAATTCAAGTCATTTTTTTTAAGTTTTTAATTATAATATATTATAGTATGTGCCATTTTGTTCGATAACTTGTTGCCATCTTGTAGGTAGTGACATAATCCCGTTTCTGTAGAAATCTTGGGATTTTTCATCAAAAAAAAAAATGCGACTAGTAGTTTTGACAGTCCTCTCTTGATGTTAACTTAACACTACCCAAAGAATTCTGAGGAGACCGAAACAGGTGAAAATCTGAGGGTGCAAGGTCAGGACTCACGACTATATTGAGGATGTATTAACACTTCCTAATCAAGCTCTCTCAATTTTTGATAAGTGGCCAAAGATTTCTGTGATCTGGCGTTATCATGATGAATTCATGACCACTCCTTTTCTGTTGATCAAATCCGGCCGTTTTTTTTCTCAATTTCTTGCTTAAGTGTCATTAGTTTTTGGCAGTTGAGATCCAAATCGAAGGTTTTGCCCGGCGGTGAAAGCTCACAAAAAACGATGCCCTTCCAATCCCACCATACACACAGCATCACATTATGGCGTGTTAATCCGGGTTTCGCTACAGTCTGTGGAGTTTGACTACCCCTTGACCATTTTCTTTTTCGCACGTTCTTGTCGTAGGTGATCCATTTTTCATCACCAGTAATCAATCTTTTCAAAAATGGTTCCGTTTTATTACATTTCACTAGAAAATCGGAAATGAGTACACGATTCATTAGGTTTCTTTCAATGAGCTTGTGTGGTGCCCAAATATCGAGGTTTTTTGTATAGCGAGACTTTTTCGAATGAGTCTAAACTGTTTTCAAGTCAATCCTCGATTCCTCGGCTATGTCGTAACTACTAAAATGTCGATCCACTTTTTTAAAGCTGGCATCGACTTTATCAGTATGAGGGCGACCAGAGCGAGCTGAATTTTTGACATAAAAACTCCCGGACTGAAAACGCTTAAACCAACTTTGTGCTACTCTTACTGACACTGCATTAGGTCCATTAAACTTTACAATTTTTTTTCGCGGCTTGATGCGCATTTTTCCCTTTTTTGTAATAAAACTTTAAAATTCATCGTATTTCTTCATTAGATTCACTCAATTTGGCGGACAGAAAAACAATTGAAAATGGCTGGCATTTTCCCGCCATTTTCAATCGTTTTTTACTTTTTCTTTTTCTTTATGTCCTATTTATATTTTGATATTAAAACCAGCTGGATACAAACAGTACTACCAAAAAGATTTTTGTTCCATTTATGCAAACAAAATACGAAGAAACTTTCCCTGACCTATAAGATAATTTTATGTAAGCGTTTACACGTTTATCACTTAATATTATCAAGCTCTTTTGTTTGTCCACGATGGATTTACTGGACATTTCTGTCATAAATTCAAAATTTAATTCGTACATAGTTACGTGGTGAACTAAATTAAGAAAATAAAAAAAAATTGTTTCATGAAATATTATAAGCCTTCTAAATTCAAAATTTAATTCGTACATAGTTACGTGGTGAACTAAATTAAGGATATAATAGTCTGGGAAGCAAAAATGCTCAAAAGACAGGCTGAGAACATGAATATGGCTCGAGTGCTGTTTCGTTTCATGAACTTTGTGGAGGGTCTTATTACAAGAACAACAGAGAGATCCTGTAATGCAATGTTATCAAAACTAAGAACTAGAATTAGAAATATAAATATGTATATTGTGTAATATTTTCTCGCTATTGGAAATAGTTTTTGAAGTGACAATTTCTTTAGAATCGGTATGATTTGAAACTCGATGAAAAGCGAAGCGACACTGAAAGGAGACATATTCATACATCTATATATGATTTAACCTGAGAGAGAATATTATATTAAATTAGTCGTTCTTAAGCCATCTAGCATCTATTTTACGTACCACCTTGTGAGTCAGTCAATTTTTGTTCGATAAAATGACTTTACCTTCAGAATGAAGTAGGTGGGGTTATTACAAATCATTTTTACTCGAAAGAAAATACTCTTTTGATGTAAAGCCTAAATTTTAGTGTAATAAATGTCTAAAAATAAGGATTGTATTTGCTATAAAATTAAACTTACATTTTATGCCGCACTTGTGGTTGCAAATATTATCATAATTAATGATTTGTCGTGAAATATTTTCAATATGGATTTGATTTGAAGGTTTCACTTCTACCGTGTGAACTGCTCACCTGATTTTTTTTCTTTTAAGTATTTTGAACAAACCATAATGTAGTATTATAGAAAGCATATTTCATTCACTTCGACGTTTTTAAAAAAAATCTCCAAACTCATGGACTCCGAACGTAACGCTCCACCAAACTTGCATTTAACTAAATCATGAACATTGTCCTAATGTGTCAAGTGATTAGCCTCGCCCACTATCTTTACTAAAAATATTTAAAAAAATCTATTCTACTCGTTTACTTGCACGTTAAATTTCGGCTTGAAACTTGTTACTAAATTCATTCTTTACTTGCATTGTTATTACACAGAAGTGTAAAGAGTAAAATAACCCGTATTGATATTATCAAATATATCTTTTTCTCTTCGCAGCTTTTTACTCGCTTATTTTTCATAAGAGCTTATTGCTCTAAGAGCAATAAACACAATACATACCGATAGTATCTGGTTTCGTTGCTTGTAAATGGAAATACCCAGTTTCTCTCAGAATATAAGAAAACAATTTTCTTAATGGATATAATCTGTGAGCGTGCTTAGCGTCGACTGCAAAGGTCGGGAACAAAGAACCTAACAGAATTTTGAAGGAACTGATGGACCTTGACGATATCGGCATATTTGTATGGAACCTACAAAAGTTATTAATAAATTAAAATTAAATACATTCTATAGTAGTTATAAATTTATAATTAAATGACCCTATCATCATAATCAACATTATAGTTTACAGCACATCATAAGTCCATTATTTAACGTGGGCCTCCCCCAAGGAACGCCAAAAATCGCAATCTTTGAGTCACCTGCATCCATAGACTTCCTGCATCTTGGTAAGATTCACTCCAATTAGAGCCGGAGAGAGCAGGCTCAGGACAAACTGTTTTACGTGCTTTCCAAGTCACGAAGTGTGACACACCGCCAATTTCCTGAATCCGGGCTGCTATTGAAAATTTTCACGTGGTAGAGCCATACTACAGCTATATTAGTAGTATAGTTATAGCTAGCACGAATGGGTCGGCTTGACAGGGGGAGGACCACGCTCTCACAGAATACCAGCGTAAAATAGTAGCTTAATGCTGCTGTGTTTCGTATGGTGAATGAAGGGAACCGGAGACCCTTTTTACTGGAAAGGAGTCTTTCCTTCTAGTCCTTACGGGTGACAATGCATCTGCATTTTGATTCGTAATCGAGGATAGATGTAGATTTCTATGGGCCACAGGAACCACTTACCATCAGGGGGACTGTGTGCTCGTTTGTAAACCTTCTTCTATAGAAAAATACTTAATAACTTATTAAACAAAAAATTAATAACTTATTTTGGCCCGACCCTGGATTCGAATGAAATGAAAAAGAGTGACAAAGCAAATTTGTGTTGCAGAAGTGAACGCCAGGGTCGGTAAGGGACGCCCTAGGCGAAAGATTGTCGACCAAATTAGCGATCTATTGAAAAGGGGCCAAATTAAGAGTACCCTTAACCGACGAGCATGTATGCGTGGGTTGGATGTGGAAGAGGCGAGAGAGGTGTGTTAGTATCGTGCCAAATGGAAAATTGTAGTCTCTGCCTACCTCTCTGGATGACAGGCGTGCTTATGTATATGTTTATGTAATGTATTATATGGAACTTATATATTTTGTAGTATATTCTCAAAATGACATAAAATTATCCGTTTAGATGGTGTGCGTGGAAGTTGTATCTCACCCTAATACATCTTCAGGGAATAACGTTGCCATATGTGTAGCACATTGGGAACCCCAATCCCCAGCTTGAATGTAATATTTATTAAAACCCAGCCGCTGCATTAGGTTTCTCATCATTATTCCAATTTGCACAGGATTAAGGCCCGGTTTATTCGTACCCTGTGAATGCAGATAAAAACAAGTGCATTAGTAGGTTTAAAAAAATTCATGATAAAGGGCGTAATAATTATTTATGTCAGTTCTATATAAATATATTAATTCTATTTAAGGTCAAACTTAGTCATAAAATGAAATTAATTGTCACGGCTTAAAACCGGATTGCGGTACAATTAAAAATAATATGATTTATAATAAATCGCATAGGTGCACCTAAATTTAACAACCCTCAATCGGTTGTATCTAATTGTAGCCTGTCAAAATCGTCGTCGTCGTCGTTACCATCATCATCAACATCTTTACAGCTTTTCACACATCCACTGCTAATTATAGGCCTCCCCCGAGGTAAGGTACCCTCCGAACGGGTTCCCGCTTTCTGGTGGCGGGGGGTTTTGTAGCCGTGGCTTGGTCACCTGGTGAACAAAGAGAAACCCACGCGGCTGGCCTGTAATGTAAGGCTGGCCCGAGGTGGCCAGTACCGAGTGGGCTTGGCGAGCTCACTTCGGATGTGTGTTGATGGGCTGCGGTGAGAGGGTGTCCTCTCCCTCTATCGCTGCAGCCGAAGTGGAGTCGCTGGGGAAGAGGAGTGTCGGTATTGCGAAGCGCTGCTCACTTTACCCTCCGCGACTCTGACGTGCCCGCACTGATGCTATGGTGGTGGAGCCGAACTTACTTTACCCTCCGCGACCGTAACTTGGTTGACGCTAGATACCACACCAGCCGCTGGGGTCGGGTAAACTGGTGTTTCCGAGCACTCGTTTTTTTCTGGCCCATGGCCTCCGCGTTTTGGACGCGGGGAGGGGGGGAGGACTTGGAGGCCGTAGAGGAAGGCGCGCCTTGTGTTCCTGGTACGCCTTGTCTGAGAATGAGAATGGGGAAGAGAAGAAGTCCTCCCCCCGATGAGGGGCTGCCATAGGGCGACCGAAGCTGGTGGGGCCGCGGATGTGTGCATAAGCGTTCCCGTGGCCCAGCCAATATGAGGCGAATGTGGGGTTAGGCATTTCCTTATGTAAAAAGGTCTCAAAGGCATTTTATCTCAGTCCCCAAAGGTGACCTTCTTTGTTTTTTTTTAAGGCATTGGGTGACAAACGAGTACTCGGCATACAAGTGGATGCTGTGGCCCATAGACATCCACATCCATCCTTAATTAAGGATCACAATGCAAATGCGTTGTCGCCCCTGAGGACTAAGATGGAATGCCTCGATTCCAGTAAAAAGGGTCTCCGGTTCTCTACACTCACCACACGAAGCGCAGCAGAATTACGCTGCTATTTTAGGTATGGTATTCTGTGAGAGCGTGGTCCTGCCCCGGTCAAGCCGACCCATTCGTGCTACAACTACAATATACTCGTAGCTGCAGTGTGGACTCTACGGTAGAGCCTCTACCACGTAAAACAGAACGGTTCTAGTGTAGGAAGTTAGTTGCAGGTGTCCATGGATTGCAGTTTTATAAAAAAAAATTGGCTAATTAGTATTTATCGGATTACGATTAGTATTTAATCGGATTTATTGTAATAGTTACAGCTTAACTTACCTTTCTACACATTTCAAGATAATTTATTGTAATCAGTATTTTTTGTTTGATTACTAAATATTAAAGATCGATGAAGTTAATTTATGAAACAACGTGTTTCTGTAAAGATATTCCATAAAAGTGCTTATTCATTTATTTTAACAACTCTTCAAACAAATCAAAATTATTTGCAGTGTTAAGAAGACTATACAGTGAGGCTGTTAATAAAAGCTCAAAGCAACAAAAATATTCAAAAGTATAAATATTACTAAGTATATTTTTATTTTTTCGCCATAATACTAAATATTCACAAGTAATAGTTTTAAAAATACATTGTTTTAATTTCTTTTATTTTTAAAACAATTTAATATGTATAAAAAAGTTAGGAACAAAAAAAATTGTGAGTTATACCTCCTTACTTAAGGTAACGGTCAATGACATCGAAGTAGGAACGTGCATGGCACGTGGTTTGTATTGATTACGTTTCACGTTTCATAATTAAAATTTAAACAACTTAATGTACGCACATCGTACACGTGTTAAATCATCAGTTAATAATATAAGGTGTGAGTGCATTTCAATAATCCGCACTTTGAAACTAGCATGCTTCTGGCTCCATCCTCGGATACTAGTAGTAATACTTGTTATGTCAGTTGAGAAATCATCGAAAGAATTGGAGCTAAACTCACATCGAGTTAGTAGAAGCTACCGAACTCCACTATCCAGTTTTCGCATCCATCGCTTAATAACCCAATAGGACCATATTTAATTGTATCGTCTTTAAAATTGCAAACGCTTAATTTAAAGTTCCAAATTCATACGAAAATTACTTTAACAAACAGTTATTATATTTAGCTTATCGCTAACCACACAGACTCTTTTTAACTTAATTATAAAGATGTCACTCGATATTACCGACTCCATGTTAAAGTATCGGTTGTTGGGGATATAGCTTTCGCTTATATTATTTACTTTTTTTTGTGAAGGTCCAGAACAATACATTTCCAATGTATTTTATATTTATGTTTGGGTTAAGTAGTTTTTGAGTTTTAAGATAGCACGAGTTTACCTACGTCAGTAGGTAACCTACGTAGTTCAGCAAACATAAACCGGAATAACTAAAACATGTTTTCGGCACATCTTTAGTTATTTCTAACGATAATTATGGATAGTCAAAGATTTGATATCTCATCAAAATTATAGTGTTAAGTACGTAGCAATAATCACTTTAATGTGCTGTTTCTGCAAGATAAACTTGTAAAAGTGATATAAAACAGAAAAATAATAATTTTATCTTCAAGGTTGAAGTAACCTCGATTTTTATATTTTGGAAGAATATCATAATTTACAACAAATCGAATACAGAATAAATCAACTTCATCGACCTTACTTCTAAGAAAATTACAGATAAATATGTTATTCCCGGCTACCTACCTTTGCGAAGGAATTTATTGCTTTTACATCATTCTCCTACAGCAAGTATGGGGAATTCTCATTCAGTCAAGTAATATGTACTTTCTTGGGAAGTTTGGCGTTTACACAGTTAATAAAATATAATTTAGGTAACTTACTTCTGAAAAGCCAAAACCAGGCAAGTCTGGAGCGATCACCTCGAAGACAAAACCATATTCATTTCTTTTGCTCGTTAACATGGGTATAACTTTTTCGAATTCCTTCGAAGAACTTGGCCATCCATGAAGCATTAATAAAGGTAACGTTTTCACACCATTAATCTTCGGTTTCACTCTAATAAAATGAAGGTCTAATCCTTGCACCCGGGTTTTGTAACGAGGAAATTTATTCAAACGATTAGCTGTCTCTTTGAAATCGTATTTATGTAACCAATAGTTTATAATTTTTTCCAAATATATTGTATTCATTCCGTATTGAAATTGTATGCCTTCTAAAGGTTTAGTTAATGGACGCCTATTTCTCAGTCTTTGTTTCAAGTCATCAATCATCTGCAATTAATAGGCACTATCTTTGTTTACAAGCTCATACTACTTACATAAATAATATGCTTTTCTTATATTTAAACAAATAAAATATGAAAATAAATAAATACTTAAAACAAAAGATGTTTTCTAGGTTTTGGAAGTGTCATAGGAAAAAAAAAAAAAATATATATATATACCACCTATTTCCGGTCAGGAAACTTTTACGCCGTCGGTTTTTAATACTGTTATAACCATTGGGCTCGTTAATAACTTAAATCCACGAGTGTTAAGTATACTGCTATTTTATTTTGATATTAACACTGGTGTAGTCATTGTTAATGTTATTATATAAATGCGTGAACAAAAACTATGATAGGTAGGTACATAACAATATATACAAAATTTATGATATTAATATGAAAGGAACAATTACCGTATTGTTAAACTCAATTTTAAAAGGTCTAATAGAATTGTCATGTGAAGGTTTCTGTCCATCTCCCCACCACTTTTGAAGGTCAAGATTAGGTGGAGTAGGCACTTGTAGCATGTAAGTTATACCACAGATAGATATTGCCATTGCGGCGGAGATTATAGTGAATAACTTAAACATCTGAAAATAATTTAATATTAGTAGTATACTTGTAGCACGAATGGGTCGGCTCGACCGGGGAAGGACCACGCTCTCACAGAATACCAGCGTGAAATAGTAGCTTAATGCTGCTGTATTTCGTATGGTGAGTGTAGAGAACCGGAGAACCTTTTTACTGGAAATGAGGCTTTCCATCTTAGTCCTCACGGGTGACAACGCATCTGCATTTTGTTTTGTAATTGAGGATACGTGTAGATGTCTATGGGCCGCAGCAACCTTGTTTTTATTGAATATTTATCGTATTGTAAAATAAGTAAGCATATTTTTATTTCTTTCACGTATTAACATATTTTATTAATATGTACGTATTTTTTTTCTTTTCTTTCGTTATCAGCACATAAAAGTCCACTGCTAAACATGAGCTTCCGTTTTGGGAGGATTTCCCATAAAGTAGGTATATCGTCGGCACTGGTAAAAGAACAATTTGAATACTGAATAGTAACGGAATGAAATCTTTTAGAAAGAAAAGAAAGAAAATTCAAATCATCAGTGACACGCAAACTGATATACCGCTACCGCGGCCTTTCTAGACTTTCCCATAGTAACCAGTACCTAGGTGATGGATCATCATTTATCATACACGGCCTTCCCACCACACAGCTTTTCTATAATGGGAAAGGCGCAAATCCAGCTGTGTGCGTGTATGTATGTATGCGTGCGTGCGTGCGTGCGTGCGTGCGGGCAGTCCCCAGCTAGATAGATGACCTGGTTAGGAGATGTAAGAAGCCGATGGATGAAGGTAGCTCAGGACCTTGCTTTGTGGCATTCCTTAGGCGAGGCCTATTCTGAGAAATGGACCTATCATGGTCTGCAATGATGATGATGAAAATTGGATAATTTTGGTAGTATCAAGTGATTTGTCGAATATTATAAATGGAAGAGCCATGCTGCGGCTATAATATATATTTTTTAAATAGAATAAAGGACACAAACGGGCACACAGTCCACCTGATGATCTACATTTATCCTCGTTTAAAAATCAATACGCAGATGCGTTTTGATTCTTAAGCGAGGATACATGTTACACTTACCATCAGGTGGACTATGTGTGCATTTTTCATTATTCTATAAAAAAAAACGAGAGTTACATACAGTATAGAATAACTTAGTATAACTTTGTGTGTATATTTCACGTGGTAGAGCAACGCTACGTCTGTATCATGGCTAGAGCACGAATCCTCCTACTCGCGTAAAATAACCCAGGCGCTTTTTACTTGTAACGAGGTATTTCGTCGTTGGTGACAACACATCTTCATTTTTGTTCATATCCCATTATTGCCAGTAGTACAGAATTAAACGTAGATGTTAATGGCACAAAGCATTCACTTACCATCAGGTGCACTGTATTTGTCACCCTTACACAAAACAAATGCTGAAGAGTTACACACGGTAATTCCTAATTTTAATGCAGTTAACAGTTAACTTCCTCTTGTCCCATTTTTAGAGATATAAGTGGTAAAATTAAACATTTTGTATAACCGACTTCAATACAAAAACTAAGAACATTATCAATGTAGTCGAAGTCAATTAAATAAGCATTATTAAGGATAACTCAAAAACTACTGGTGAGATCTAATTTATATGGGACATGAGAAGCACCAGCTTTCGAATAAATAAAATCATTAAAATCGGTTCGCCTAGCAAAAAGTTCTGAGGTAATACATAAAAAATACAGTCGAACTTAGTACCTCCTCCTTTTTGAAGTCGGTTAAAAAGAGCGCAAAAGATTGTTTATTGTTGAATTTCTGTTCAGTTTGGGATTCCGAAACTTATTTCAGAAATTCGCGGAGTTAGGGTGACAATGTATAACAGTGTATATTTGGCCTTATCTTTAGTCAGCGTTTAGCTGAATTATATAAGCACTAGCTAAATTTTCTTATTTATGAATTTTACATACACACACAATGAACAAAAGTTGATGTGTGTGATACACATAAACTTTTGTTCATTGTCGTAATACAATCGCCAATATTAAAAATATACAGTATCTGATCTAAAAATCTTGATGAAAAAAAATTGTCAACAAGTTGGCCAAAGTTGACAAAGTTTCGGATCTAAGCACATGTCCGAGCTTGCGTATTTAATTGAATAGCTTTTTATTTAGCATACATTATGAAATATTAATACGTATTTTGTCTTTGTTGCAATATATACTTTAAAAGAAATCATTTATTTTAATGAAATTAACAATTACCCACGCCCTAAAAATAATAACATTAAAAATATTAATGAAAATATTAATTTTTACAGTGTTATGATATTTGTAGAAAATACACCTATGTTTTCTATACGTCACCAGATTAACTAATCTGTTATATTGAAATAGGTAAACATCACATAACAAACATCTATGTATAACTATGTCAAAATAAATAGTACCCAATTGTTGGAACTATTTTATACTTATAAAGGTATATTGTTGTATATTCTTGTTTATTGTTAATTTAAAAAAAAACTGACAATAAGTGAGAAATTAATGTATGCAGGTCGATTTACCTTTTTTATATAATTCTTGTTGTAACAACACGAATGTATGCCAAGACCAACAATTCAGTTCACTTTTGCAGGCCAAGGGTTAATCCCAAACTTTACCAAGTTGAAAACCGGCATTCAGTTAATATTAAACTTACAAAAATTCTTTTAAGGCACTTAAATAACCCATAGACACGAAGTTAAGTTCCAAAGCTAATGTCAATATTATAAAAAGGAGTACTTGACAAAAAATAATAATGTAGGTATTTAAAAGTGGGCCCAATACGTCAATTAAGTACAATGTAACCACACTGGCAGAAACACAAGAATCACAATAGAACACTTTAAATTTAAACTGAACTAAATTAAACAAACAAACATTATCACTGTTTCAAAAAAATTGTAAAATCAAAAGTATCGTGTCAGTAATTGATCTGTTGATAGTACTTAAAAAAAACATTTATAGTGCGTGCGCTTACGGCGGCGTCGCATGTCGGAATTATAAATTCGTTGATGTATCGATATGAGCACGCCTATCTCTTCTTACCAATGCAATGTGTATAAAATACGGCCTCGACCTTGTTCAAGCATCGTAATGTTAAAATTTCATTTTTATATTTTTTAATGAAAATGAAATCCATATGAATTATTATACACAATTTATTTTACAAACAAATGATAATTAAAAAAGGATAAATAAAAAATGTTATTATTTTCGTACCTTTGAGGAGTTGAGATTAAAATGAATGAAAAATGTTTAAAAAGCCAATGTACAGCAAAATCTGGTTTTCGGTTACAAAAATTAATATAACATATACTTTAGCTGTATACAACATGTTAACAAACTATAGGAGTATTTTATATTTTAACAGTAGTTAAAGTACTAACCGTGTAGTGGTAATGTAAGAATATTCACTACTCTATAGAATCATTCTGTGAGTGTCGCATGTCGCGATACAATGAAGCAAACCAGCAGATGGGCAGCTAATTACAACTAAAATAAAAAATTCTTCCTAGCGTGGCAACTATGGTAAATGGCTGAAGCATGAAGCATTCAAGGAAAAGGCCTATGTACAGCAGTGGCCTTTTGAATAAAGCATGAAGATGCCGTTTTAATATAATGGCCACTTTGAATTGTTAAGATAAACATGGAGACCTGAAAAATTAGAGTAATTTTCTACGACAATTTTCGAGGCGCGTTTCGACTTAGTTACTAACTACTAACACAGTGTTATCTGTTCGCTTAGATACGGTCGCCTTGGTGTCGCGCACAAAGATTTAACTCCTTGGCACGTGCCGCTTTTTTTATAGGAAGTTCCCAATCCCAATATCAATGTTGCGTTGAAAAAAGAAACAACTAATGAACTCACTGTGCGTTTTTACTTTAATAGCTTTTGTAGTGAACACCTTGAATTGAGAATGAACCACGAGAAATCAAAACACTGAAATAAAAATGAATTAAAAGTAATAAAACACCATATCAAACAATCAAGGAATTATCGTCATGGTTTGACGTAAGTTTACCCAAAATGTGTCCATTCATTTTAGGGGTTTCATGTATGTATATGTATATAACTATACATTACAGCTTATTATCTCTCATTCCGAGGTGAAAGTGAAACCCCTAAAATGAATGGACACATTTTGGGTAAACTTACGTCAAACCATGACGATAATTCCTTGATTGTTTGATATGGTATTTTATTACTGTAGGCTCTAACTGCAGAAACTTTTTAAAACGTCTATTTAAGTTTTCTTCAATCACATCGAACAGTGAGTCGCAGTATTAATAGATTTTCCGTCCTTAGAAATTTGATCACATGTTGAATTCTTACTTGCTCGGATAACAGAGAACCATAATAAGTGTCTTTTCCCCTTGCAGGGCTTAAATAGCTTCTGCTATTAGCTTTGAAGAGTCCACATATTCCATTTTCCTTTAACGGAGGTATTTTAACATTTTCATAGTTTCACTAAGACTGTTCTGTACGGCTTAACGATCTTATATGGAATTGTAATAAGAGTTCCATCGAGTTGCGCGTGGAGAAGTTAGTGACTTTCCTGTCATCACTGAATATGTTTCACATGCTTTTGGTGATCTGGAACAAAAATTCAAAGTACTTGCCACTTTGCTAAAGCCGCATCATGCAGTTTCTTATAACTAGTATTTTTTAAACTTGCTTAGGTCAAGGGGCATAGCCGATGACGTTTTGTAGAAAGAAAGAATTGCCACGCTGTCTATCAATTTGACCCCAGACTAAAGATTCAATGGCGTGTTCATTTTTATCTACGACATCATTGGCATTTAAAATTAATGTCACAATAGAATAGGTTATCTACTACTAAAACTTTGACGACTTCGTGGCGTAGTGGCTTAGCAATGAGTGGCTGCGCTGGGGGTCTGAATGGGGGTTTGAATCCCGCACGGAACATGTATTTGTATGGCCTACAAATAATTGTTCCGGGTCTGGATGTTTGTCCTTGTGCAATTTATGTTTGTAAACTGCCCCCACGATACAGGAGAAACGTTAAAAAAAAGTATTTTAGCAAACATAGTATCTATAAAATACTAAGATCCCAAATAAAAGATATCTAAATACAAGATACGAAATAAATTTGAAAAAAGTACGTATTTTGCATCTTGCAATACAGATGTATTTCAAATACTTTTATTTTACGAGGGCAGCACTGAAAATTTCTGGAATCAAGGAAGTGACACAACATTAATATTTAAAAATGTATTTATTGCTTTTCGAAGTATTCTCCGTGAAATTTGACACATTTTCCATACGATGGAACCAATCATTGAAGCAACCATTCCATTCGGAAGTTGGGGTCTCCAAAATGGCCGTTTTGTAGGCGTCCACAGCTTCTTCAGGTGATGAAAATCTCTGTCCACGCAATTTATTCTTTATTTTAGGGAAAGTATAGAAATCATTAGGGCTTAGGTCGGGGCTGTACGGCGGATGGTCTAATAATTCTATGTTTCCTTGCTCTAAAAACTCTTTTGTTCTGTGTGGTGTGAGAACTCGCATTGTCGTGATGGAGGATGATGCGGCGGTTGCAGTTTTCTTTACGGAGTTCAGAAAAGACCTGTGGCAAACAAATGCTAGCATACCATTCTGCATTAACCGTTCTTTGTCCCTCAAGAGGAATAGTCGTAACATGGCCGATTTTGGAGACAAACGTGGCCACCATTTTTTTTGCAACACTCCGTGAACGAACAATTTTTGTTGGCTTTAACTCTTTCCCAACTCGTGACTGGTTTTTTGTTTCGGGTTCGTACGCATATATCCAGTATTCGTCACCTGATACGATGTTGTATACAGCATTTAAGGATCCTGCGTGGAATCTTTCGAGAGTTCTGACGCACCAAGTAACGCGAGCCGCTTTTTGCTCTTCAAAGAGCGAATGCGGTATCCATCGGGAAAACAACTTTTTTACACCTAATTGTTCATGCAAAATTGTTTGTATTTGACTCATACCAATGTCTGAAGTTGCCTGAATTTCGCGGTATGTCACATGTCGATTTTCCTCAATCAGCTTACGCACAGCATCAACGTTTTCTTGGGTGACTGCAGTTTTTGGACGACCTTGACGGGGATCATCACTGAGCTTGACACGTCCACGTTGAAATTCAGCAAACCAGCGATAAATTGTGGTTTTGGATGGGGCTTCGTCACCAAATGCAGAAATCATCCGGCCAATACACTGTTTTTGTGTTAAACTACTTCAAAAGTCATAATAAATCATCGCCCTTGAATTTTTTCGAGTCATTTCCATTTTCTCAATGACTAAACAAGTTTGACAAAACCTTGTGACAAAACCGAGAATCTTTTTTAAATAAATAAATTGTATTCGATTTTTAAAACCAAGGAGTTTTCAATTAAAAAGATTTTAATATGACAGGAACAGTGGAACTATTCCATTCCCGATACTTTTAGTGCAGCCTAGTAAATAAGTTACATCTTTGCTCATTTACAACAAAACGGCAAAATAAAAATAACTCGTGAAATGCGTGTCTCAAGAATTAAGTGATGTACATAGAGGATCAGCAGGTCCGCATGTTGAAACTTGCCTTACTCTGATCAGTAGGTACGTACAGAAATAAATAGTTTTTATAAAGTACTATGGCGTGTGATCAAAAATAAAACGTGGGTTATTAACGAAAATAGGTAGCGAAAAACACAATGGTTGAACCCTTGTCAAATACCGAAACAATCACTAAAGCGAAGCTTGCCCACATAATAGTAATGGTAACTGTTTAGCGGTCACTTCACTTTTGAGATCCGCTGCAACAATAACAGCTGTTGTCTATTATGAAGTATTACGAACAGTGATGACGAAACTTAAAGAAACAACCCCGACTCATCAATTGATCTTGGCCATTATTGCTGTATGGTTACGCAAGACTTCACACTGCTCGACAAACCGCTTTAACATTACAAATCATGCAGTTAGATACCATACGTCACCCTCCGTACTCACAGACATAGCACAAATCGATTACAATTTTTCTTTCATAACATAAACAATCACTCCTGTCACCCAGAGGGGTAGGCAGAGACTACAGACATCCATTTGGAAGTTTTTTAATTTTTTTTTTCAATTTGGACTATTTCCTGTTTTTCAGGTAACGGTACATAACTTCTTCCTAAGAGTCCAATTTTTTTTTGTTAGAAAAAGGGGGTTTGAATTTTTCAATAATTTAATTCATACTTGGAGTTAGACGTGCGCCTATGCTAAAATCACCGGCGCGGCGGTGGGCGCCTGCATTGATTTATAATTTATATCTATATTATACTTGTCTAAAATCGGCGGCGGCGGCGGTGTGTTTTTGGGGTGATTATGATGCGAAGAATTTTTTTAATCTATCTGGCTTATAGATTCGTTTTATTATAAAAATCAGATAAAATTTGAAAAACCACAAACACCAAAATCAACAATTAATAAATCAGCAAAATTAAAGTTTTTTCAATTGATGGCTGCCTTGCAAAGACGGTAATTTGTCGTCCACAAATACTATTTTGTCGATCTTCTTCGGACTTAAATGGGACTTATTTGCCGTCATCGTCAAACCTGCAACAGAAAACACTCCCTCGTTAGGTATTAATAAAAATAGCCACAAATGCTACTCGTCCATCATTTTTATCACTAGCATCACTAGATACCAAATTTTTTAAAAATTGTGTCTTTGTCACCTGCATTTGATGTACTGTATTATTGCAGCAGCTGGCTTGAGTTTCTAGTTCACACGCTAGCACAAATAGTGTACTCGCTGGCACTAATACTTTGATATAGTGGATTAAGAAACCCACTCTTGTTGGCATGGATACTTTCCAGGTAATGAACTATTCCCTGTAATTTGGTGAATCGGCAATCTAGTAAAGCAGCTGCTACAGTAATGTCAGTAATAAGGAATCTACGATTGAGTACTTTTGATCTAATACATTACTAACTTTTCATCATCATTCAAAGTTTCACGTGCTTCTATAATTTCAGATCTGAACACTAAGGCGAAGTTTATTGAGCAAATTGTCTGCGTACATAAAGCTTCCGTTATTGGTTTAAATTTTGCCAACACCTAATCATATTTCTTATATTACGTTATCTGATATGTATTTTGCAAGCAAGGCGTTGACGACTGGTTTTCGGTTAAAATTGCTACTAGAAATTTGCAGCATCACCAAAGAACTGTTTCAGCATTTTAATCGATGGCACCGATGCAATCTTGATATATTGGGTCTGAAAAAATAAACGTCAGTCTCCTCGATCGTCAGTACTGCTGACTCTGAGAGAGAATTAAGCGGATCACAATCAAGTCGAAAGTTTTCGCCATCTTCAAGGTTATCATGAACATCATCAATTTCTATCAAAATTAAGCGTTATTCCTTGTCAGCTTCTTCTTCAATTTCAGACTACCTATATCTCAGTGATTTGTCTACTTTTTTGTATTTTATTACGAGGTTTTGTTTTTTGTAGAGTTTTTTGACCATGTAGACTGTGTCTCAGACACAAGTGACTTTGAGTTTTTGGCAGAAATTGAGATATAGACTTTACGTTGGCTCCAGAATCAGTTACAAGATACGAAGACTTTTCTTCGAGGCCAAATGAAGATACCTTGAATGAATGCGCTTAAAACTTCTCTAGTCTTTTTAACTTCAAAAATTCTTGCAGCTAAAGTATAGTTTTGCATGTCGTTTACACCACGGCGGTAAAGATCTGTTGCTGTTATGTCTGTTGTGGCAGCTGCGTGGGTCTCAATTTTTTGTCACGATATCTTGCTTCGTGTGTGCCAACATGGAGTCGTATAGAGCAGTTAAGCCCTCTCTAGAGATAGTCTTCTAACCCCTCGAAGCACTATCAAAAGGCATAAGAGACTGACAGAGCCAGAAACATAAATCTCTTGCAAAAATCCACTTTGGCTTTTTGAAGTTAATAAATCAGACCTTATTGGACTTTGACGTGATGCTTTGAAAAAGTCGTTAAATTGTTGGATGTCGTAGCAGCAGGATTCTTTTCTTCCGACAAAGTGTTCAACTTTCAAGTTGCGTATCAAATTCCATTCTATGAATATATTCCATTACACATTTGTAACCGGATTATTTGACATAATCTATGTTCGAAAGGTAGTATAGAACAGTGTAATGTAATGTTGTAGGGCTTCCTTAAACTATAAGTTCTAAAACATTTAGAAATTGCGCCGATTTTACACCGATCTTCAGATCGGCGGCGGCGTCGGAAAAATATCGGCGGTGGTGTGCCGGCGCGGCGCACATGTCTTTCGGTACATAGTACGTACGGTATTATAATACTTTGAAACCTGGTATTGGTGAACTTCCAAAAGAAATGTACTAAAATGAAAACGATTTATTATCAACTATCAAATCATTATTAGAATCAACGTCATCAGCAAATCGAAACATTCAGCTGTTATCAGCATTAGCAAAGTGTGAGCACAAATCATCAGCAAACCCGTCCATCTAAAAAATGATGTTATAATAATTACGAAATTTTAAGTTAAATGTAAAAGAGAATTAAAGTAATTCCTCACCTAATAAGGATTACAAGATGCAATAATAAATCCAAAAATTACCCAAGTCCTTTTTCCAACGCTCATTAGCTCAAAGTCAACCAAGATGATCATCAAATTATGGCAGAAGCCTTGATCATTTTAAACAATTTAGTATTATTATATTTAGTATATTGTACGTGAAACGCACTCACACTCACATTTTTCTTTGAAAACCCGTAAAAGTGTAAAAGCAAGCAAATGATTTTAGACGCATATGTGTACGTACGTGAGTTCATGGTTTTGGTTTGGTTTTTACGTCACTTGAAATGTACGTAGCGTTTCGTTGTTTTTTTACGCGGAAGAGTTAATCAATCCACCGTAGAGAGGACAAATAACTTGCTGTGAGAGGCTATTTCTGGAGCAATGCCTAGATTCAATTCATTTTTTCGTGTCATGTTTCTTCGCGATCAGCAACACCACTGTGGTGTCAGGTCGTAGGTACTAAAGCATAGCCCGCCTATCCTTGAAAATTGTAGAAATTATAGCAGCGCTGACGTCGTGAGTAGTAACTGCGAAGTTAGCTGTTTATGAGTACAAGTAGATGAAGTTAGTTGAATAATGTACAAATTTTCATTTCATTTTTAATGAGAAAATTTTCATGCTACGTAATTTTGTAATTTTTGACAAAAAGGAACATTAAAAAATGGAGAAATATTTTATTGTGCGTGGATGTGCAAGTGCTATGCGTGCGTGGATAGCATCTGATCGGAAAAATAGACTCAAAATGACTTTTATTGACCGAACCTCGAGCGATCGCAGCGCCTCACTTATGGTGTCCATATTTCTGGACACTATTTTCTACGGTGATCGTTCTCCTGTTCTCTAACCTTCGTGCTTCTCTCAATGATTGTGAGTTGCCAGTATAGGGGCCATTACATACAAACCGATTAATGTAGTAGTTACACACAACGTTATAGTAGGCCTCTTTCAGTGTGCTTCCTGCAAATACAAAGCTGCGGCAATTCATGAACTTGTCTTCCATATCAGTTATTGATTCTTTGAACTAAATGGCCCATTGTTACTTCGGCTTACTACTCCGTTTGTCTAAGAATATGTTTATTTTTTCAGATCAGGCCGTCATTTCTGTTTGGAATGCAATTCTCGCGGGAAGAGGCTCTGAGCGGTGAGTTGTCAGCAGAAAGCTTTGCTCAGATACAAAAGCGATATAATGACTACGACGGTGCTGCTGAGAAGGAACCAAAATGGGGAGCGCAAAATGCTATGCAGTGCTACGTGCAAGCCCAGGCTGTTCCCGACAAGGTATCAATTACTATTATTTTTCAACTAGGTAAATGTTTTTACTTTAGTAAGTTTATGCTGAACTAAAATTGTTAATATATTTAAGCGCCGCGGGGCTAAGCCCACCATGTAAATTTCACAGTACACGAGCACGGTTCGATACCCACCGGCACTAATCAAATTATTATTATTATTTTGTTGCTCTTTAATCACGTGCTTGGCGATGAAAGAAACACCGTAGGGAAATCTGCATGAAAAAAATATTTCGAAAACATGTGAAGTTCGCCAAAATGCAATGGGCATATATACAACACGTAACATAATTAACGCACTTTGAGAAAGTAGTTTGTTCATAATCGTTTACTGAATCGATTCATAACATCTTTAATATAGGTAATTTTTTATCCCAAAAATAATTAAAACTACGTAAATTACAGTCACACTAAATCTGTACAGTCAAAACAAACTGAAATGGATCGTAACTTGAGGCAATAAGACTTTTAAGAGTGCAGTTTTATTTGTATTATTACTAATTCTGTCATTCAATAAAAAATAAAGAAAAATGAACTTTATTTCAAGCACGTTAGTCTTTGCGTTCGTAATTTGTACTGTGACTACAACATTCTTCCTGAATTAGTATAACTAATTTGATAAATAATCAGTGCATAAAAATGTTTAACTAAATATTCAGTGTATGTATTACGATTATAACATAATATACTAATTGGGGTGTATGAGGGTGTGCGTTAATTACGTTACATATTGTACTATATTGTCCTTGAAATACTCTCAGCAATGCGAGGAGACTAGTATCCAGCTGCGGGACGTAGATATAGGCTGCAACTGTAGTTTTACTTTTCATTAAACTATTTCCACAGTTCATATTCACTAAAATCCTCAACAGATTGTGGAGGTAAATTGAGAGACAGGCTTTGCATAGGAATTTTAAATGTTAATAGGTATAAGCTTAGTTATCTCGAAAAACTCAATAGTATTTTCTGCGCTCTTGGTACTTCTTCACTTAGCTTAGACACAATTGAATCGGGCAGACCGATGTTGCAGCATTCTATTCTAGAAGCCCCATACTCTAACTTTCTGCGCCTTGTCGGTCGGCGCCCGTATTTACTGGAATATTCTGGATGATTCGGTAGAAAAGGTGTATTTAAATCCGCTGCAAGCCGCGATCGGAGCAGTATTGAATTTGGCGAGACAAGCGAAGCTTCGGAGCGAAATAAAGTGAAAATCAGTGTGATTAATTATTAGTGTTTTTTAAAATTTAATTGGTGTTCGGTAATAAAAGTGTAAATTTTGGTAATTCAATTGGCAGTTTTTACTGTCACGAACCTCAAGCTCGTAACAGTATTTATTAAGTCTTCAGATTAAAACGTGATTAATGTAAAAGTATTCATACTTTTTAAATTTTATAACAATTATGACTAGTGTATATTTGTTTTCTTTTTTTCTTTTTATAGACGGTTGCCGACTGTGTGGAAGCCTTAATAGGTACATATCTTCTAAATGGAGGCGTTTTGGGAGCTATTAAAATTCTGGAATGGCTGAAGATTATACCAGCTGAGGTAAATTTTATGAATCATTAAAAATAACTTTATGTAGCATAAATACTGGAAATGATCTCGTCAGTTTTAAAGTACAGGTGATAATCTAAATGAAGCTTACCTCACGTGTTTTAACTGGTAAAACTGACAGTAATAGGGTGAATCATCATCATCATCATCATCATCAAAACCCATCACAAGTCCACTGCTGAACATTGGTCTAAGATTGCCTTTAAGAATGGTCCTGTGTTACCTGCATCCATAGACTACCTGTATGATTTATCAGGTCTTCTTCCATCTAGTGATGAATCGCTCAACACTGCGCTTACAAGTTTGAAATTGCTACTCAAAACTTTTCTTCTCCGTACGTTGTCAGGTCTTCGAGATCTTACTGATCCACTGGATTGTGTCAGATACTCTTATTCTTCTGCGAAAGTCCTCGTTAAGGATTCCATCATGCAGAGAAATTCCAAACCTACCTCTCGATCTTTCACTAAGTGACTGAGCTTCCTAATGTAAATCAGTGCAGGGCCACGTGTTGGTTTTCGTAATCCATCACTGACAAGTGACAACATCTAATATACTCTTTATTTAAGCTTTTAAATGGCGCATTTAAAGAATTAACTTTCAATACAAAGTAAAACTCGACTTTCACTTTTGATTAAATGTTATCTTTTTATATGCACCACCAAATTTTACCCTTTTGAGTAGACTAAAGTATTTCAGAACTTATTTTGCCACCTTAAGACATGGAATTTCTTCCCCTAACGTATATGAGAACACCACTGAAGTATAAATTAGTTAAATAAAAAAAGGATCATTACACATATATATAGTCGAATGAGAATCATTTCCTTGTTTTAAGGCGGTTTAAATACAAAACGGCCTCCATCCACATTCTCATGTAAATGTGATGTTCATTTACCAGTATCATTTTAAATTAAAATTTCATAGGTGAATCGGTTTTTTTAACATGTTACGAAACTGTTTATGAGCCTGTTGGCTATTCATTATCTTATATTTAAAAAAAATGTTACAGGAACGCTTAAATACACTCCTCCACAAGCCAGTGTCTACGGCTTTTACACAAAAAAATGCAAGCGTGGCCGAAATTGATCACCTGCTAAACCACACACGAAACGATCTGCAAGAAATACTAAACTACACGTTTAAAGATCCAGCACTTTTGTTAGAGGTATGATGCTGTTGGCATATTAACTTACACATACTTTTCTGAAAGAAAAAAGACAATCACTTTTATGTTATTTTCCGGACGAGAACTGCTGATCTGCACTCCTTGCTTATAATAGAATCGAAAGGCAGCTATGCAACTTGGAAAGACGAAAGTAAGATAAAAGTTACAATTTAGACAGACATTTTGTTAGTGTCCAGATTTTTTAGTTTTAAACCTGTCAACGCTTTGTTTAAAAAAAACCTGTAGGCCATCCCTGGAACTTTCCGCTATGTACGATCTCAAAACGAAGCTTAACGATCCGAGAAATTTCGAAGTTATAAAAATTTTTTTGTGAATTTTACGACAAACGATTACTTTCGAACGGATCAACAGTTTGTGATAGAATTAGTGGCAAACGACGAGGTATTTTAAGAACAATAATAAAATCTATTATAAAAATCGATTAGACTATAAGTTCAAGTTATGTGAAAAAAAAAAACACTTTTTCGAAATTTTCGTCATCGATTTCTCTTCAACTCATTAACCTATTCTGAGTGGTTGCAGCAATCCACGTCGTTTTCCGTGTTTAGGGGCTGATTAGATTTTGGAATGGATGACGCACCCACACCCACACACACGCACGCACGCACGCACGCACAATCACACCAATCACACACAAAACCACACGCTCGTGCACACACGCACATACGCGTGCATACACACAAATGGCAAATGGTTCAAAAATAGCATCGACTTTATCTGTATGAGGGCGACCAGAGCGAGCTGAAGTTTTGACATCAAAACTCCCGGACTGAAAACGCTTGAACCAACCTTGTGCTACTCTTACGGACGCTGCATTAGGTCCATTAAACGTTACAAATTTTTGAGTCGTATTTTTCCTTTTATTGTAATAAAAAATCAGAATATGTCGAATTTCTTCGTTAGATTCACTCATTTTGGCGGGCAGGAAAACAATTGAAAATGGCGGGAAAGTGTTTTTTACTTTTTATTTTCTTTATGTTTATTTATTGATATTAAAACCAGCCAGGTACAAACAGTACAGCCAAAAAGATTTATTTTCCTGTAGTATAGTATATAGACTAAATTTAACTTTTAATCAAATATAACTACGCCAAACAAAACACGCTTACTTCGGACATTTGTCTGCAAAATTGAATAAATGTCTCCACACAGCCTATTTCTTCACCAGGCCCTGTCTCATCCCTCGTATATACGGAACCGTTACACACTATCCTACGAACGTCTAGAGTTCATAGGCGATGCTGTTTTGGATTTTCTCATCACATCGTACTTATTCGAGAACTGTCGAGATCTGAAACCTGGAGACCTGACCGACTTGAGGTCAGCTCTTGTGAACAACGTCACTTTCGCCGCGTATGTTGTGAAACTGGGACTGCACAAGTAAGTTGTTGTTTGATAATACCCTTCTTGACGAAAAAATGCAATAACTGATTTTGGCCCGATCCAGGATTCGAACTCGGGATTACATACCAACCATTTCCACAAGACCAACGAGGTAGTCAAGTTGTGTGATAATATTAAAATGTCCAGCGAGCTAGCATTCCACCTCGTGGTGGGATGTGTTTCACCCCTGAGGACTAGCTGAATTCTTCAAAGCTGTTATACCGATTTTCTTTTACTTCACATAGGAATACCGATTTATGAGGAATCCTCATAAATATAAGGAAAGGCCTGTACCCAAGAATAAGGCGTAGCGCAATTTTTATGGATAATTTGTGATTGGAACGATTATAGCTTACAAGAGCGTAAATAGCAACGCAGCTGCTGAATTATATATGATGACTGGTTATTATAGTTATTATAGTCACTCTTCCTGATCGTCATATTGAAGTGGTGCTTGAGCTTGACCGGAGAAGGACCATGCCAATGGTATGTGGCTACTGCAGTCCACGGAGACCTGCAGCCAAATTCAAACAAAGAACGCAAAGCTGCGTATCGACTTTGCGCGGCTGCCACACGATATTGTTTGCCCGCGGCAAAACTGTGTTTTGGCTCTCAAGCCAATTTTAGCGCACAGTTTACCTACAGCGAGGCAGCCACGCGCGGCGGCCGATCCGTCAACGAACGTTCATTTTATGCGCGGCAACGATGAACGTTGTACGTCGGCAAAGTGCAACAGGCAAGCCCATTTCTGCACTGATTTCATTACAAGCATCTTTTCTTCATGATTCGTTGTGATAATCGTAGTGATTATTATACATTTACTGTTCCATAGAAATTGTTTAGTATCATATAATCTAATTAAAGCACGACACTTGTCCAATCAAGAGCCGTGGTAGCTCAGATGGTTAACGCTTGCTGTAAATATAACAGAACGCGAGTAACCCGGGTTCGATACCCGCCGGCACCAATGAAATTGTTAATTGCAATTTTAAGTGCTGATTTACCACGTGCTCGGCGGTGAAGGAAATCATCGTGAGGAAAACTGCATGTCTGAGGAATAAGAAAAAAAATATTTTCGAAGACATGTGAAGTTCGCCAACACGCATTGGGGCAGCGCGGTGGACAATTCCTTGCCCTAATACCCTCTCAGAAATGAGGGTAGGTCTGTGCCCAGCAATGGGACATATATAGGCTGTAACTTTACTTTAATTGTCCATCCATGTTTATCCTGCGGACGCCAACTATAATACGTAAACGACCGTCCCAACTGCGCGAGCACAATTCGCTGAGATTTCTTTGCCGCGCCGTCAATAACCGACACTTTTTTTTCACGTTTGTATTGCCGCGCGCAGGCATTACGCAGCTTTACAGATGCGAAGCCTAATTTGTTTGAAAAATTACCTCTGAAAACTGAGATAAGATGCCTACTGGCCTGTTATTGTACTGGCTGTCGATACCCTATATACCGGAACACAGCAGCGCTGGCACTGCTGTTTGGCGGCAGAAATAGGTACAAACAGTACATCTTTGCGCATGGCAACACTGGATAAGTGCCCCGATCCATGGGGGCACCTACACACCAAAGATCCTTCTCCTGTTATAGAGTCTTATGTTAATAAAACTCTGTCATGAGGGCCCCATTTATCCTAGAGTGCCCGGAGTCCTAAAATAATCTAAGATGGTTCTAGCTAAGAGGGACCTATTCAGACGGACTTATAGGGAAATAAGGAGTCTTACTGCCTACTAAATAACGCTCTTACCGAATTTCAAATCAAAATGCTTATAAAATTATATTGCTTTATTTCTGCCTCTGAAGTGACAACGCATCGCCATTTTGATTCATAATCGATAATATTCTTTTTCTTTTTTTGTCGTAAAATACCAGCAATGTTATTAACATTACTAGTATTTCCTGTAATGACTCTTAGTAAGCTTAAATGCTTGTGTTGAAAGAGGTTCACGACATTATTGAATAGCGCATTCGAACCCATGACCTTTTGAGTTCGTGGTCTGCACCCTACCATTAAGCTACTGTCGCTTAGTATAGTAATTGATGTAAGTGTCTATGGGCCAAAGAATCTACTTACCATCAGTTGAAATGTGTGCCGACTTGTAACCCTTACTTTCATAAAAAAATTCGTCAATAGAAGCTGTTCTACCAAAATTAGTGCAAAACACAGGTTTTTAAATTGTTATTGTGCCAGTATCTTCAGACTGCGGTCTCATCTAACCGCATAGTTTGCAACTGTTTTATTGTTTTGGAGTATAATACAATTGTAAATGAAGCTAATAAACTGCAACCTATGACCCTTATTTGACCGCGCTCTTAATTTACACTTTAACTCCCCTTATAAGAAATGTTAAATTTACTTTTATACTGCATGCTGCATATTGCATATTTAGTCGTTGCATCGGTGCATATTTTAGACTGCACGTCAAAAGCAAAAACGTCTCAGCTTCCTAAACATATAATATATACACACACAGGTGTGTACATATGTATCTAAACGTGATGGTCACGCGAATTCAGTGCTTTCTCCCCAAAAGAACTATATATATATATATATATACACATTTGTATATATGCATTTGAGCGTGACGGTTACGCGAGTAGTGCATTTCTCCATCCCAATAGTATCCAATGTGCCTAAGGAAGTTTTAACTTCACAAATCATTAATATAAAAACTTCTTCCAGATATATTTGCTCACAGTTGAATCCAGCACTGGATAACGCTATATTGGCTTTTGTTGAACATCAAGAACAGAGGGACCACGAAATTGTTGAAGACGTCTTATATCTGATAGAAGAAGAGGAATGCCAGGTCGCTGAATACGTCGAAGTGCCTAAGGTAACTGAGACCTTGTTTAATATTCTTTAACTACCTCCCCATAAAAAATGTTCCATATACTTACTGCCACTTTCTCAATAGATTTATAAAACTGTCTTGTTTATAATCTAACTCAGCAATATATGCGTAGCCTTAGTCAAGTAAAGGTAAACTTTATTTTTATATGTCCATAACTTGTAATTTCACAGACCCTGAGTGATATTTTCGAATCGTTGGCGGGCGCTATATATTTGGACAGTGGCGGGGATTTGCAAGCCGTTTGGTCCGTCGTATACAGGATCATGTACAAGGAGATCAACAATTTCTCCATCCGCATACCGATTCAGCCAGTGCGTGTGCTCAGTGAAAATATATACGCTTGCCCTTCTTTCAAGTATGTTATTCTGTGATTTCCTATCATGGTTCTTTAAAATTATTTTATTACTGTTTGTATTGTATCGTTTAAAGTACTGAAGTTTACACTTTGCCTGTTTTCACGCTAATTAGGTCCTTTATTAATAACAAATTTTAGTGGTAGAATCATGTTGCAATTAAATTATGGTTTCAACACGAATGGGTCGGCTCGAGTGGGAAAGGACCACGCTCTTACAAAATAATATAGCAGCTCAATGCTGCTGTGTTTCATATGGTGAGTGTAAAAAACCGGAGACGCTTTTAAATGGAAATGGGTCATTCCATCTTAGTCCTCAGAGGTGGCAACGCATCTGCATTTTGATTATTCAACGATAGATGTAGATGTCTATGGGTCACTGCATCCACTTACCATCAGGTGCACTGCATGCTCGCTTGTCAGACTTATTCTATAAAAAATATAGGGAAACGTATCATGGCGTAGTTGGACTTCTTTTCTGCCTAGAACGCCTCAGACTAGAGCCATGCTGCAATTATATTAGTAGTATACTTGTAGCACGAATGGGTCGGCTCGACCGGAGAAGGACCACGCTCTCACAGAATACCAGCGTGAAATAGTAGCTTAACGCTGCTGTGTTTCGTATGGTGAGTGTAGAGACCGGAGACCCTTTTTACTGGAAACGAGGCATTCCATCTTAGTCCTCACGGGTGACAACGCATCTGCATTTTGATTCGTAATCGAGGATAGATGTAGATGTCTACGGGCCGCAGCAACTACTTACCACCAAGTGGACTGTGTGCTCGTTTGTCACCATATCCTATAAAAAAAAAGACTTTTATAAAATTGAACCGACAAACAACTTATGGTCCACCTTACAACTTAGAACTTATAGTGATTGGCTACTGCTGCCAATGGATACCTGCAGCCATCTTCGAGCAAAGAAGGCTGTGCGTTCTAAAAGGGACCCAGACGGACTGTCTGGTTAGATATTCCCCTCCTACCTACTTTTTTTTGAGTGCACTGCTATGGTCTGAAGGGAGATACAGAGCGAGTATAATTACAGGCTTTGAGATATTCCATCTTCGCCTTCAGAGGTAACAATGTCATTTAGACACTTAAAGTCAAATAAACTGTGTTGCAAGCGCTGTAATAGTGATATTCAGCTTTACTTTGCAAAATCGAAACTTAAAGCTATTTAAAAATAAGACATTTTTTAATGAAAAAAAACGGCTACAGTACCATTTAGTGGCGACGTAAGGAAGTCCACTACCCCATGTCATGCTGTAGGTGTCGAAACTAAAGCAGGGCATTTTATATGTGATAGAGCCATGCTGCAGTTATATTAGTAGTATAGTTGTAGCACGAATGGGTCGGCTCGACCGGGAAGGACGACGCTCTCACAAATATCAGCGTGAAATAGATCACTGCTGTGTTTCGTATTATGTAAACAGGAGACCCTTTTTACTGGAAATGAGGCATTCCATCTTAGTCCTCACGGGTGACAAGGCATCTGCATTTTGATTCGTAATCGAGGATAGATGTAGACAGATAGATAGATGATGTAGGCTATAGACCGCAGCAACTACTTACCATCAGGTGGACTGTGTGCTCGTTTGTCACCCTATCCTTAAAAAAAAGGGCAGCAGTATCTTTCTGTTAAGAGCTCACACAACTGAAAAGATAATGGTTACTGTGGCAACATCTTCCTATGATCCATCTTTGGGGGAGGCCTGCGTTCGGCAGGAGACTTTTAGAGGCTATAATGGATGGAATGGAAGTTAACGTCTGTGTATACATCACACTTCTGGGCACAGGTCACCTCTAATTTCTGTGAGTAATTAGAGCTTCACGCTGCTCTAGGTGCATCTTTGCGTATTTTACAAAAAAAAAACACGCAGGTTTCATTAGGACCATTTCCTTGATCGCCGAACACGTGTTAAATCACCACTTAAAATGTCACAATGTCAATGGTGGGAGCGCTGATCAAGCTCAGATCCCTCGGGTGCTGTGATATTTACAGCGAGCGCTCAGCCCTGTAATATATTATGTACTGTATGTCCATGATTACGATCAGCGTACATATAATTTCCTTAAGCCGGGTTTTCACCATACGAGTACTTTCGGACCGAGTGCGCTCGGATGCCTACTCGGACGCTACTCGAAGTGTGTAAACACGTAATCCAAGCGTACTCGGACAGCGTCATCCGATCAGAGTGGAGTCGGATGAGGTTCTATTTTTACGAGTACACTTGGATAATTTTATGGTGACGAAATAGTGCCAACTAAAAAAAAGTGGAACGAACATGTTACTCTGAGGCTTGTGGAACTATATGAAGCGGAAAAAGTGTTGTGGAACATAAAATTAACTAAATATAAAAACAAAGATGCAAGAAATGCTGCAATACAACGCATCATTCATAACCTCAACATACCTCGCAGCAGTTGATCAGTCGTCATCGCTTACAAATAGACAAAATTAAATGCTACTTTGGCTCTGATGAACTCGTAACGTGTCAACCAAGATCAGAGTAGACTTCTATGCGATCTAGCTCGTATGAGCGCACTCGGTCCGAGAGTACTCGTATAGTGAAAACCCGGGTTTATGGATATTTTTTATTATTTAATTTTATTTCTTAGGAGACAATAACTGTGTATAAATAAAGATTAATGATTTATTACAGAAAGGCAAAAGTAACCAACTCTGACATACCCAAAGTAATGGTACCAGTTACTTTTACAAAGAAGGGCCGACAGCACACAGTGTATGGAGTGGGAAATAATAAATTCCAAGCGAAGCGAGCCGCGGCCAAATTGGCGCTGAAGGTTTTGAGCTGTTGAATTCTGTGAAATTTGTGCGATGTCAATTAAAAGATTCAGAATTTCTTATTAGATGGAGAGAGATCATTTATCTTATATTTTATTAAAGTATAGCAATAAGAATAGTTACAATGCAAAACAGTATAATACAATAGAATCCATTACGCTAGGCACCTGCGTCTTCTCATTGAAGCGATTTTTTATAACTCAATAGGAAACTTTTGTAGAACTAATTGGATAGGTAATACGTACAACTAAATAAGTAGAATAATTGATTGTTTGATTGATTTAAACATTTCGTACGTTTAAAATAATTACATGTTAACAGTGTTTGGTAAGGAATCTATATACATACACATAAATAAAATTGAAGTGTGTCTGTAATGTCTGTTATATTGAAGTGACTGGCTTATATTAAATTCACTGGATTATTTACGTGCTATAAAGACATAAGGAACATTAAAAAAAATTGTATGTATTTCCGGGCTAATTTATGGAATGGTTGGACCGACTGTGATGAAACACAAACAGAGAGCAATGCCAAGGAGGATCAAGGTTTTTAACCAAATAAACTTAGATTTCTAAAAAAAACAATGATAAAATAAATGGTCTTTTTGTTTATCTGAAATTCACAATAATAGATACTGTCCAGGTGTAGCCGGGGCAGATCACTTGTAATAAGTAAACCATTACAGTAGGAAACGTAATTATTGTTAATTTTCATCAAAATTGATAATTTCTAGAAAACCAGGAACCTAAAAAACATCATGTTACAAGAACTCTGTCCAACTGTGTTTCAAAAATCTATCCATGCAATATTTTCCACAAAATAAAGATAGAAGCTGAAGCTGAAAATGCATATATTTTTTTCTCAAACATTGTAATAATAATATTTGTATGTTCATATTTATCGGGCTAAAGCATTAATTAAAAACCTTTCAGTGGCTGTGTTCGCTCTGAGAGGCTCTGGGTCAAGTTTTTACTCCTTTTCACAGCTCCCGGGCAGGTCACCCCCCACTCACTAAATCACTAACCCATCATTGATACAGTAAAATGACAATGTTGATATTTTTCCAACAAGTTGCAAGCCTTCTTTAGAGCAGTGCACATACACTTATCGTTATAGTGCTCTCCAATTGTAATTTTAACTTTTCTAATTTTAAAATTTAAAGACTGATCCTATGTAAGGACTATTTATGGCCAGACTGGTTAGTTTTAATTACTGGAGGTTCTCTTTTTTGTCTTGTGTATGTAACAAAGAGAGACGATTTGAAGCTAATTTTAATTTAACAGTCACTACCCATCTCTGGAACATTACAGGTATGAAATAAAACAATGATTTTTTTAATGAATGATTGGAATCTTGCCGCTTAACAATAACTTTAATACTGCGTTTGTCAAGGAAAATATTAAGGGACACAATCGCTTCTCCTCTGTTTCAAGTTTTGCAAATATCTAAACTGATTTTAAAAAATAGCTGTTATTTTTAATGTGTTACAATTTTAAACTTTCGATTAAAATTGTAACGACAACTGTATGAACAGAACAATTCAAAACGTGTTTTTGCAAGAACTTCTTTAGGAAGAACAAAATCATAAGTGATTTAAAAAAAAGTTTAATATGATTATTTTCTATATCTATTATATTATAGGAGAAAGTAGATAGATACAAGAACGGTTTATGGCATTCCTTAAGGAGGCCTATGTACAGCTGTGTACTTATGAAGGACTGTAATGTGTAATGTTAACGATAGTCCTCTTTAAAAAGAATTTCTATTGTACTGTTATTTTAGTAATAGATAAAACAATGCGTTTTTATTTCTGTTCTTAAGATATAAAACTATTATTTTTTATTTTTTAATAAACTATTTACATACCGAATAGTCTTTTATTTTATAAGTATATAAGTGGATTTAACCTCTAGCGGCCCAAAGTCCTTTAAAAATGATTAGTGCCATATCGATTCCAGCACAGGTACTAAAACATGAAGAATTTATTCCGTTTAACTAATAAGTTGATAGTTTTTTTTTTATATATAGAAGAGGGCAAACGAGCATACGGCTTCCTACTACCGCCGCCCAAGATCAACCGCAACACCAGGGGAATTTCCGGTGCGTTGCCGGCCTTTTAGAAAGGTGCTCTCCCTAGGTACCGGTCCGAAAAAATCGCCGGTGGTAAACTATTCCACAGAAAAGTCGTACGCGGAAGAAAACTCCTTGTGAAACGTACAGTGGTGGACCGCCAAGCATCCAGATGATGTGGATGGTATCGGGACGTTTGCCGCGTAGTGCGTTGACGAAATTAAAACGCGTAGAGCATTCCCCGTGGTATACGCAAAAGAAAATGTAAAGAAATGCAACATCTCTTTGCAGCGCCAGTGAATCGTGCTGATCGAAAAGCACTCGGTCCTCGAAGAGCCGCTCTGTGCTGGACGCGGTCAAGTGGAAGGAGCTGGCACTGGGGAGCCCCAGCCCAGTGATGGGAACAGTATTCCATGTGCGGCCGAACCTGCGCGTTGTAAAGTATATACTGTCCCGCTCTGCTGAGCACGCCAAGCTTTTAAGAGGCCATATTGGCCTTCTCTTCCAAGTGACCACGAAACTGCACGTTACTTGATATGTCGACGCCGAGGATTCCGATACTGGCTGAGGCAACAAGGGAGTGCCTTGAAACTGAGGAAATACGACAAAAGGGTTCTTTTCAGCGGTTAACGCGCAAACTTGTTACTTCTGAGGGTTAAACTGGACTAGATTTAGTCGCCCCCAATCCGAGACTGTTCAGCAAAGACTCGACTTCAGACACAAGATTGTCCCGGTACTCGGAGACGTTTTCCCGAGATATATTGGCACGGCCGGTGTACAGAGCATCACCAGTGCGGTCATCTGCATAGCAATGAATGTTGCTATGCAGATGACAGCACAGATTTCAGATGTTGTTGAAAGGTTTGCAACATATCATTGATATGCAGAAGAAACAGCGTTGGCGATAGCACGCAGCCTTGTGAATCACCAGCATTAATAAGCTTGTAATCGGAGCTTGCACCGTCTACAGCGACCTTGATGCTCCGATCTGCAAGAAAGGCCTTCGCAATGACCAAACTAACGGCCAACGCCTCCCACTTGGACTCTACTGCCTCCGCCCATCTATTAGGTAGACCAGATCACCAGCTGACCGACCACGGCGAAAACCGTATTGGCGATCACTAATCAGCTGGTGATCCTCAAGGTACCACATGAGCTGGCAGTTTACAATGGACTCCATTGTTTTTGAAAACAAGGAGGTGATGGCGATAGGCCTGTAGTTGGACGGGTCTGAGCAGTCCCCTTTTTTAGGGATCGGGTGGACGAAAGCCGTCTTCCATGATTTTAGGACTACGCCTAGGGAGTAGGAGTAACGGAAAAGACGCGTTAAAACCGGTGCCAACTCTGGAGCACACATCCTCGGCACAATTGGGGGGATTCCGTCAGTCCCACTCGACTTGTGGATGTCCAGGGAGAGGAGTGCATTGCGAACCGAGCGCTGTGTGAACTGCACTTCCGGCATGGAGCACTCACACCGCAGGATAGTCGGTAGCGTACTCCCCCCCCGTCATCAAGAGTCGAGTTGGACGCAAAGAAAGAGCCTAGCAGATCGGCTTTCTCCTTTGCGGTATGGGCCAGTGAGTCGTCCTCGCTGTGCAGAGATGTTAGAGATGGCTGACAGAAATTCCCCTGGACAGCCTTGGCGAGAGACCAGAATGCACGGATTCCATAAGGAAGGCGAACTAGTTTCTCGCCAATTCCGCCTATGTGCTCTGACTTTGGCTTGGCAATATGACTCTTTTGAAGGACCTGGAGGCGAAATTATACCTTTTTTTAGAGCGCTGGTATTTACATCCCCGGATGTCAGCCCAGGCTTGGTAGCGCTCCTGCTTATAGTTCACAGCATGACGCTACTTCACAGGAGCGACCAAACCATGGCTGAGATTTGCCTCCGATGGGCACGACTGAGGAAGGAATATAAAGTTCCATACCCTATAGTCCCACATCAACGCACCTCAACAACAACCCACATCAATGAACAACGTTGGGATCGTCCAGCGAGAAGCAAACCCGCCCCCAAGGTAGGATGCAAAGAAAGACCGCATCCTATCCCAATCGGCTTACCTATAGTGCCAAACACGGCGGCAGCCTGCAGATTGCAACTGCAATTTAAGCGTGAGTGGCACCACACTCCGGATAAGACAATGGTCCGAGGAGCCAAATTGTACTTATTCAGATCAAGTAATAGATACTCGTAACTATCAAAAACACATTATCCGTGTTCTCAACCCACCCACTGGGCTTATATAGACGAAGTCACACTAGCTAAGAAACAATTCATCATAGGTGTGTAAATCTATAGTTCAAATAGACTACAAACCATAGGCAAGACCAAGTTGCTGCAATTATCCACCAAAGCCTAGCTCGCAAACATTCAATAACTTGTTTGTATGGAAGAATGAGTGGCTAGTGTACCCCTAATACAATATATCCAAGCACTATTTTAGAAAGTAATTTCGTTAAAATATATATAATCATGACAGTTATACATTGGACAGACAAGATATACATTGCTACTAATATTTCACCACACCATGGGTTAAATGATAGAGAATGCCAACTGGCATTAAGTCCGTTTTGTAACCTTTATGATTAATAAAATAAAGTTTTAAATACATTAATAATAAATTACAATAGACTGGATATAACAATACTAGACAAAATTAAAAAAAATTTATAGCATTTTGCAATACATGCAATCTCATTACTATACATTTGAAGAAAATGACTATAATATATAGACCTATGTGGCTATCAAAATAACTGGCAAGTCCACTCCCAACAAATCGTTCCCATCATCATATCCATAACTGGTGTAGTCCCCATAGACCCTTCAACCCCGTCTCAACATGCTTCACATGCCGAAATCCACTATTACACTTATACAAGAAACAGTCCTACTTAACACCTGTCGTATTACACGTAAATATTCCTCAACTCA